TGCTGAGGCTTTAGACGAGGATTACAGATTTCACTACATAAAATATAGAGGGATTCATTTTTAAAAAAATGTTTCTGCTTTTTCATTGGAGCTGGCCAATGAAAGGCTACTGAATAAACTCTAATATTTGTCATTTTTCTAATAAAGCACAGGGGAATTTACAGTTCTGATGTCTTTGACCTTTTCCCTGGAACATACCAAACCCTAGAAATGTTTCCCCAAACACCTGGAACCTGGTTACTCCACTGCCACGTGACTGACCATGTTCATGCTGGAATGGAAACTACCTACACTGTCTTACCAAATCAAGGTGAATATACAGTTAGTACCTCTAGGTATATATTATGAGTGCAACTAAGATTCCTGTCTTGTCTAAATATATCTTCCAGTATGAAGTACTTGTGAACTGGCAGCCCTGGTATCTTCCTTCTCTACCTCCAAATAGAATATTTTAGTGCTAGGCCAGTGGGATATCACTTACTTGGTGACAGCTAGGATGGAATTGATTGTCTAAGTGTACAAATGGACACTAACTTTGCAGTGTAATCACACCAAAAACTGGTGTAAGGGAACAATCACATTAGGGTTTTTTGTTTGTTTGTTTTAACAAGAAGCAACCATGACTTAGAAATGAACATTTAGGATTTAATTTCTTTCTTAAGAGAAAGTATTAGCATTTTTTTCTCTGTAGTACCTCCCACATAAGAGAAGCATGAACCAGCCTAGTATAATTTCATTCACCACCCAGAACAGTTCTTTTTGTGCTGCCAGAGAAGGACAGTTTCTAAAGGAACTGGGAAAAACTAAAATTTAAATTCCTTATTCAACTCTTACATGTATAAGTACACACAGACACCTAGATATACACACATACACAGAGCACAGGAAAATAATCTTTTTGTGACTACATACCAACAACAAATGTACAAAAAGTAAAATTCCAGCACTGTAGTTGAGAACTGTAGGAACAGAAATAGCAAATGTAGCCGGGCGGTGGTGGCGCACACCTTTAATCCCAGCACTTGGGAGGCAGAGCGAGGTGGATCTCTGTGAGTTCGAGGCCAGCCTGGGCTACCAAGTGAGTTCCAGGAAAAAGGCGCAAAGCTACACAGAGAAACCCTGTCTCGAAAAACCAAAAAAAAAAAAAAAAGAAATAGCAAATGTAACTGGAGGAAGTTACATACAGAATATGCTTCTTCCTTAAAAATAATAGAAAGGAATAGGCATGTGAGTGCATGTTTGTATGAGTGTGCATGTGCATGCACATATGCATTTGTATGAGTGTCCATGCATGAGTATGCATGGTGTGTGTGTGTGTGTGTGTGTGTGTGTGTGTGTGTGTGTGTGTGTGTGTGGTTCTAGCAACAGAGCCCATGGTTTTGCAAATGTTAGGAAAGCATTTTACTACTGAGCTATGTTCCTAGTCCAAGTCAATATATTACAAATCTAAGTCACTCAAGATTACACCTTATTGTAAATAAACTTTTCATTTTTGCTCTTACACCATCTTTTTTGACAAAAAAAAAAATTTTCACTGAAGTAAAAAATGTAGTTACTGGTAATGCACAACCACAACAGTATCAAGGTTACAGTTATGAAATAGCAATGAAATAATTTTATGGTTGGGAGGTCATGACAACATGAGGAACTGTGTAAAAAGTGTTGCAGCATTTGGAAAGTTGAAAACCACTGCTCTAAATAAACAAGTGAGATGGATCAGGAGTTAGCAGCACTGGCTACTCCTCCAGAAGACCAGAGTTCAATTCCCAGCACCTACATGCCCATAACCCTCTGTAACTCCAGTTGTAAAACTGTAACTACAGTTCTAAGGAATCTAGTTCCCTTTAGCCTCTGTGGGTACAAGGCACACAAGTCATATACAGATATACATGCCATGCAGGCAAAATACCCATACGAAAGAAAGAAAGAAAGAAAGAAAGAGAGAGAGAGAGAGAGAGAGAGAGAGAGAGAGAGAGAGAGAGAGAGAGAGAAGAAAGAAAGAAAGAAAGAAAGAAAGAAAGAAAGAAAGAAGGAAAGAAAGAAGGAAAGAAAGAAGGAAAGAAAGAAAGAAGGGGGAAGGGAGGGAAGGAGAGAGGGAGGGAGGGAGACGTTTACTTACATATAAACCATGCAAAAAGTAATGGAGAGGAAGGAACACTGGGGCACTTGAAAACTTATGTATACAAATGTTTGACACAGAGGATGCTGCCACAGGCTGGTCCTGCACATAGAAACACTAGAGACTTCTGTGTCTAACAAACCTGGGAGAAGAGGGAGTGGTAACTGCTATTAAAGAAGAGAGTGTTTTTAAAATAGCAGAGGAAATTAGAGAGCAAATACCAATATGAAAGAAGAACCAATATAAAAAAAATACATTGGAAAATATTTTAGAGAAATTTGACTTTTACAAAAAGAAAAGATATTATATAGGACTGGAAGAAAGAGTGACAGAAAAAAGTCTGAATTAAACACAGAAAAATAGGGAGCCATGCTTATCAGTTTATATTATCTATAAATAAGTTTGATAAAGCTTTGGGGAAATCTACATCAATTCTACATCTCAGAAAATGACTGCCTTTCATTATACAGACAAGAACATATAGAAATAAAAACAAATCTTCTGATATCACGTATCAGGTGACAGTTGTCTCTTCAAGGAAAAAGTTAATTAAAAATGGTGACTTTCCTACCACTGTCATTTCCATGTTTCTTTTTCCCTATTAGAAGAAACACATAAAGACCTCCTTAGACAAATGTAAAAAGTGCTTTTGTTGAACTATGACTACTCTGTCAGATAATATTTAGGATACAGACTATAGTGGGAAAGCTGGCTTAATTTTAAATTCCTCAAAGTTGGACTATACATACCTGCAATTCTAGCTAAATAGGCAAATCTATTACAATACTATGATGAATATCTAAAAACTTTCACTTGATAAAGTAGAATTTTTGAAACTTTCTTTGATCATAATCCAAAACATAATTTTAAAAAAGGCTGCAAAAGAATTACCACAGACCTTCCTCCCATATTTACAAAGTTACAGCTGCCTTCTTGTTCTCTCCTCATCTCCCCATCTTGCGCTTGAACATGTCTATGTGTGCATATATATTTTTATTTCCTAATTATATTCTTATGTATAACCTAATACCATCATCAATGTCAAGAATGGTTTAAAAAATGATAAAAAAAAAAAAAAACTATAGCTCTTTTTCAGCTTTCAACAACTATCCCCTAATATTCTTTACGCAAAAAGAAAATCCTAGCTCATACAAAGATCCTGAGGGACAACTTCTCACTTTTTTCTTTGACATTGCTGACTTCTTTTTGTTTTAAAGTTAATTCTATGTGCAAGAATGTTTTGCCTGCATGTATATCTGTAGACCTGGTGCCCACAGAGTACCAAAAAGGGCATCAGATCCCCTGGAAATGGAGTTACAGATGGTTGTGAGTCAACATGAGGGTGCTGGGAATCAAACCCAGGTCCAGTCCCCCAGCGACATTCTGTAATACAGAGCAGTTGTTACCTTGTAGACTCTGCCATGTAAGTTCAGTCTGTTGTTTCCTCATCTGACTCAGGCTACACACTGGCATCCCTTCTAGTACCTACATCCTAATGTGCCTATCATTGCTGAACTTTGAGCTTTGGTTAAACGTGGTATCTGCCAAGATTTTCCATGGTAAATTTACTACTTTTCTCCATTATGATTGATTAGGATCTTTTGCAATGAAGAAAATAAATTTTCCTTAATTAAAGCAGTACTAGAATGAGATATTTTTAAACATATGAAAAATAAGTGAATTAAGAATTAATTGAAGTTAACTAGTATTTTAAAAATAGAAAAATGTAAAACATCCATGTACAGACTTTTTAACCATATAAAACATACTATTTTAAGTAACCATCTTAAAATTTCTTTTTCTATAGAGACTAAGTCTGGCTGAAAGAAATAAATCGGTGATAAAATGGAAAAAAGAGAGCAATGATTCATAACAATGTGTCACTGAATAGAACACTTGCGCTGGATTGGTTATCAACAGTTTAAAAAATCGAAGCCACACAACTGTTCATTTGTGTGGGAACTGGTATTACTTCAGATGGACAGATCAACAGACTATATCATGACATGTATTTGTTCATTGGGTAACAGAATTACTTCACATAGTCCACTTATACCTGCATTGTTAGGACTTTGTAAAACAGTACCAAATAAACAAAAACATATGACCAGATGCTGTCCATGAGGGTCCTCACAGGATCACTACAAAGTTCACTGAACTGTCTCCAACTCTTGCCTTACCATCAATTGCTCTAACAAGCCATAGGGTATAGTGGTGGGGCTAAGAGCATAGAAAAGAAAGGAAATATGAAGACAGCAAGCTGTGTTTTACAGAAACCTGAAAAGATAGTCAAGAAAGGTAGAGTCCAAGAGTATTAAATTTAAAAAATTAAAATTCAAATAATAAAATAAATAAGAAATTGTCAGTAAGAGGACTAAGTCAGGGTTCCAAAGAAATGATTGAGTAGACGTTTTGCAAAGCCTTACTAGCTTTATGGGCTCTAGCAATGAGCTGGACTTGAACACTATAATATGCAACAAAAGGTTACTAAAAGGGCTCAATGGCTAAGAGTACTTGCTGCTCTTGTAGCAGACCCAGGTTCAGGTCCCAGCACCCACAATGAGTGGCTCCAGTTCTAGAGGACACAATGCCATCTTCTGGCCTCTTCGGGTACCTAGATGCACACAGTACACATACATATACTCAGACATACACACATACACATACAAAAAATAACATCTTTGAAACAAACCAAACAAGTCTAATGCCAGCACTCAGGAGGCAGAGGCAGGTGGATCTCTGTGAGGTAGAGGTCAGCCTGGTCTACACAGCTAGTTCCAGGATAGCCAAGGCTGTTATACAGTAAAACCTTGTCTCAAAAAACCAATCAACCAACCAACCAACCAACCAACCAACAAGGAAGTTATTAAAAAGACAGATATGAACATCATGATAGTTTTTTTTTAATTTTCTCATATACTGTGTTTGAAAGAATAAGAGTATATACATATAAAGAATAGAAACAAGACTTTGGCTGAAAATATGTGAACTCAACAAGTCATGTTAACAGCCAGATGAGTATATTCATTTAATTCTGAGAGAAGTACACCATGAGTTTCAAAAGTAGCTCAAAAGCTAAGTATTCAGTCTTTCACTGGAGAGAAACATTACATCTTTCTCATACTTACATGAAAAAACAAAATAGTAACCCAAATAGAAAAATCTGTAACCATGAAGACATTGTTTGACCAGCAACAGGGGCATTTGTGCATACTTGCAATGTAGTTTCTTCCAATGACTCTGGGGTGGATAGGATTGTCATGCCCCCAGAACTGAATCCATGATATTTCTCACAACAGAAGTCTGTGTCCAGTTTTGAAAATACCTGCATGACATTTCACACCTGTAAAGCTTGGGAGGTTCGCATAGATTGAGGTCAGCACAAGATTCATAATGAGTTCCAGGCCCACATAGGATAGAGAGTAAAAAAAATAAAAAATAAAAAATAAAAAATAAATAAATAAAAGGAAATACATGTGAAGAGATCTTACATTTTGAAGGGGTTTTTTTTGTTTGTTTGGCTTTTTTTTTTTTTTTTTTTTTTTTTTTTACATTCTGGATAATAAATGGGTCCAGGTTATAGATTAAGCGAACAGCCATCATTACATGGTAAGGTAAACAAGCACCATAAAGCAGCTGCAATACACATTAACACAGAACCCTTTGGGCTCATTTTATCTGGGACAGAACATTTAAAGTGCAGTTGCTTATGTGTTGCAAAGGATAAGTTCAAGACAGTGATTTCTTCCTGCTGCAAAAAAGGAGGTAGGGCAGGAAAAATGCTGCAGCACCATCTTCTGGGAGAACATTCAAGAAATCCTTCAGGTCCAATCCCATAGCAGTAACTGACAAGGCTTCTGTTTGTGGAAAAGAAGAATGCATGAGTTACAGCTACAAATCTATTTTTTTACAAATTTGCTCTTAATGATTCAAAGTTCCTTCAAGTAACAAAGTGCTAGAATTATAAATAAAACTCTTTAATCCACATAACATAAGTTCATACTTCTTAATTTATCCCTTCTAGAGCCCTTCAAATTTTATTTTGCAGTTAGCCCCTGGAATGAGTTACTAATTCACTGGTGGATTGCTACATTGCCTTTTAATCAACTCCTTCCATTTTCTAATGAAAAATATAATCACGTAGCTGCTGCTTTAATGTTAGGAATGCTGCTACTGTACAAAGATTGTTTGCTAGGACATGAATACCATTATCTACTAGAAAACATTTTTCTAAATAGATTCCTCTCTATAATGAGATTTTCATGTTGTTAATAAGCATAAGTCTTGTAATGACCACATACCTTTTCTTCTAAATAGTAAAGTACTCTAGTAAACATTTTCAATATTAAGGAATTTAATGGGGTTGGGGATACCCTCAGCTATAAAGCCCTTGCCTAGTGTATACAATTTCCTAGATTCACCTCAGTACCAATAAAAGAGCATGTGCAGGCAGGGAGAGGGGGTTGCCAAACATTTTAAAAAAAGATAATTATGCAGATTTTGTTTCTATTCTTAGTTGGTGCTGCCCTACCCTACTAACAAAGACTTCAGAGTGCTGAGTAGATAGCTCAGTTGGTGTAGTGCTTGTCACACAAGCCTGAGGACTTAAATTCAACTCCCAGTACCCAGGTAAAAGAAAACCAGGCATTGTTGCATGCCTACAATCCTAGACCTGGGAAGTCAAAGATAGGTAGATCCTTGCAGTTCACTGGCCAGCCAGCTCAGCCTGATTGGTTAGCCTCAGGTTCCAGTGAGAAACCCTGTCTCAAAAAAAAGCTGATGGCTCTTGAGGAACGATGACCAAAACTGACCTCTGACATGTACACATAGATGCACACATTCCCTCACTCCACAAAAATGAATAAATAACAACAATGTCTTCAAGACCTTGTTCTCCTAAGAATAGTGTTCCTGGGAAAACATTGTTTTCTTCCATTTTTACCCATACTCCAACATCATCTCCTGTGTGCTCCTTACCCATTTGCAGGGCTACTGTACAACCCACTCACTCATCTGTCAATCTAAATCATCCTTCACACAATGGGATGGGCCTGCCCCATCACTAAAAAGTTAAAGAACTCTGCAGCAGTGACACAGGGGGACTTTTACCTTTCCAATCAGATACATCTGAGAATGGATGGATACTCTTCAACCTACATGCTGTATGACTTTAAGAATGGTACTTGGGGCTTGAACTATGATTCAGTGGCTAAGAGCAATTGCTGCTCTTCCAGAGGACCTTAGTTTGGGTTGCCAGCACCCATGTCAGGTGTCACAACATCCTGTAACCCCAATACCAGATTTGACACCTCTGGTATTTGAGGTCACCATGTGCACACATACATACACATACACATACACACACACACACACACACACACACACACACCCCTTCTGAGGTCACCTGCACTCATGTGCACACACCCACATGCAGACACACACATCCACACCTTCTGAAGTCACCTACATTCATGTGTATACATACACATGCAGACACACACAAAACTACATATGATTTAAAATAATAAAAATAAATCTTACAAAAAGTTACTGAGCCTTCCAAGTGGGTTTCCTCATCTACAATATCCTGGGTACCAATTGCTAGCTTTCAGAGTTCTCTGAGAATTACAATAGGATACTTCTCTAACATATACAATGATCTTAATAAATAGCAACCACTAACTAGTTTGCAAAACTCATATGAAACACATATATTATTAATGTTTTCCTATCAAATACACTTACTTACCTAAATGTGGAGCCTATAAGTAGTAGCCTGGATACAAGAACTTTTACTTGGGGTAAGTACTGAGCAGTTACAAAGTCAGTAAAATTATTACCACTGTTCAATTCTCTTCTCCCACTAGAAGGCCCTAATATAAATGATAACTCTAAGAAATAAAGCCAATATCTTAAATCTGTACAGTATTTTAAAAGCTCCTCCTAACCTCTCATTTGGTTTCCTTCCTGAATCCCTTAATATTTTTATTTATTTAATCTAGGCCTCATTCCAAAGAGAATAGGTATGATTTGTGGTTCAGTTGGAGAAACTGAAGACAAGAAAAGATTAAAATAGGGGACAGAAGGGTGCAGTGAGATGTCTCAGCAGGTAAAGGTATGTGCCACACAAACTTGATGACCTGAGTTCAATCCCCAGAACCAAAAAAAAGTAGAAAGAGAGAACCAACTGCAAAGTTGTTTTCTGGCAACCACATGTGCATCATAACACATGCATATATGTATGACCATTCACAATGAATTAAATAAATAAATAAATGAATAAATAAAATGTAAAAATGTGTGCTGCTAATAGTTAACTCCACTGTTAAGATTTTAAATGACTTTTAAAACTTTATTTTTATAATATATTACAATATTAGATTTTTTTAAAAAATGAAAGTAGTGAGCTGGAGAAATGGCTTGGTGGTTAAAAGTGCTGTCTGATCTTATAGAGGACCTGGGTTTGGCTCTCAGTACCCACATGGTAGCTCCCAATTGTCTGTAACTCCAGGTCCAGGAGATCTGATACACTTTTATTGGTCTCTGAGGGCAGCAGACATACACATGATGCCCATACATACACTCAGACAAAACACTCATATACCTAAAAGTACATAAATAAAAATAATTTTAAAAATAATAGTTCATTACTTCAAAATCAGTAACAAATTCTTCCTTAAATAAGCCACCTATTCACCCTCATTTCAATAGCTCTACATTAATGAACTGGTTCTCAACTAGAATAATTCTGTCCTTGGTGACACCTGGCAACATCTGGAGATATTTGTATTTGTTATAACTAGGGTGGTGGTGCTACAAGCAGAAGCCAAAGATACTGACTAACACCCTTAATAGGATGGGGAGAAAGCCTTCCCAACACAGATAGTTTTCCAAAGCAAAGTGACAGGTTCGAGTAGAAAGATAAGAAATCTTCAGGTTCCTAAATGTGTCATGTAGTTCCCTGTCCACCATCTTCAACCTGATCTTCTTATAAGTTTACTCAGAGTCAGCTAAGAACTTCTCATTAATCTGACAATATTAAAAAAACTGGATTGTAGTGGCAGACCTAGAACTCAGTTCCAATTCCTAAGACTCTACTCCTGAGTTCCTCTCAGTGTGCTGTAGGTGCCAAGAGAAAGACCTCAAATAAATGAGACTCCATCAAAAAACAGCCATAGGCCTTCCCTACAGGAGCTCAATGCTGACAAGGAGTGTACCACAAAAATGAATAAAACTCTATGCCAGCCCTTCAGCTACTGCGGTCTAAAACTGAAAATCACCAGAGCACTCCGTATTCTAACAGTTTATGAGTTACAAAAACACTAATAATTCCAAAACTGCAGAAAACTGGAATTTACATGTTCAAGATGTAAGTCCTTGAAGAACTTATTGTTCTTCAATACTTATAATTATGTTTACTAATGTCAATTTCCTACATGAAGTAATTTAAAAAGCTAGAGTGCTCTAAACTTTCAAAATTTTTTAAATATTAGAATTATGACAGTTTCCATGGCAATAATCTGCTAAGAGTCTGGAAATACTAACTTCTAAGAACATCAGCTCTGTGAATACAGATGCTGGATGAGAATCAAATATGAGGGGGCAGGCAACATGACAGCTGAAAACACTCCAGATGACTCCTATAACTTCTGCACCTCACTTGACATCATGGAGACAACACCAGAGAAATCAATAACTTGTCCAACTTAAAACTGAGAGTGAAATTAACAATCATCCAAAAAAGAGAATTTTACCTTTTAACGATGACAGATAAAGTTGATGTTTCTCTCCACCACACTTGACTTTCTGACAAAGTTCAGGCAGCAGTTTTTTCCACCACAGAGTCTATCTTAGGAAAAACGGATACATTGTAGTTTGATGCATCTTATCCTCAGATTTCTAATGAGAGTAAGAAGGCCGTGCAGGAGAGAGCAAACAGAAAAATGTATGCTTTGGCTAAGGCATCCATCACCTCTGTTGCAAAAAAACGTTTTATCAGCAGCTAGGCTTCTGCTGAAACTCAAACAGAAGGGCAGGCCTGTAACTAGAGGTTCTTGTACACATTTATTTTCAAGGAGAAACAGAGATGTGTTCTTTTATCTTGGTTGGCAAGAAGAAAAGAAAAAAGAAATGCTAAAGCTAACTCTTGTAATTGCTAAATCAAAGACCAAATACAGGGAAGGTATTTCCTCCACCACACATATATTACTCAGACCTTCAAGTAATCACAGATCTCATCTGAAAACAAAAGCCCTTTAAAAATGAGATATATCATCCCCATGCATTTTAATAGCATCTAAAAGTACTCAAAATGTCTAACATTAAACATACATGTTCTTTGGTCACACAGCCCTGTAAAGCTAGACTAACATAAATAGTCCCCATTCTGCCAATAAGCCAACAAAATTACCAAATCTTATCACCAGTGATCAAGACTAGAAGCACAATCTGAAATGCATACCCAGTGTTCTTCTTTCAGTTCCTGATTAGCATATGCAATGACTGCCTCCGGACATCTCTCTAGCAATGTGTCTATGCACTGTTCATACTCTTGTAATCGTGTACGACACAGAACATGAGCACTGAGGCCAGCAACAGTGTCTTCTGAGAGTGGCTCCAGAAATGGAATAATGGAAGCTACGTCAAATGAAGGGCCACATATGAGAGACTATGAACAGAAAAGTGAAATGTTATGGAATGGAGCATCCCAAATTAAAACACAATGTATAGCATAATTTTTCAAAATGATAAAATCCCACTTTGCCAAAAACGGAAAGAAAATGCAACTTTAGAGAACATGAATTTGGTCCTGAAATACTCGTACTGAAGTACTAAATAATCTTAAATTCAGCTCTCATTTAAAGAAGTCTTTTGAATACAAAGAAATCGTCTTTAATTAGGACTCTAACCTGAGGATACGTCCAACATGTTGTCAGAGATTTATGCCCCATAATGTTTAGCATGAGTATTCATAACACTGAAAGACCATGGGTGGTTGCAAATCCAACAAGAAGTATAGTCAAAAGCTTTCTCTGGTCCTGCCTGGCCCCCGGTCCTGCAGCCACATATAAAATAATCACTCAGAGGCTTAACATTATTTAAAAACCATATGGCCTATGACAGGCCTCTTGCTAGCTAGCTCTTATATCTTAAATTGACCCATTTCTATTAATCTATGTTTTGTCACGTGTTCCATGGCTTTACCACTCTGCTGGCATGTTGTTCATTGGGCAACAGGCTGGCATCCCTCCAGACTCTACCTTTCTCTTTCCTGTCTTTCTCCTTGGATTTCCTGCCAGCCTCTAAGCTGCCTTGCCATAGGCCAAAGAAGCTTATTTGTTAATCAATGGGAACAACATATATTCACAGTGTACAGAAAGACATCCCCCAGCAAAGAAGGAACAAGATCAATAAACTATGACACATATTTCACAGAACATGATAGAATTGCCAAAATTATATTTCCAGAAGACAGTTAAGGAGGAAAATAATTATGACCAAACTGAGCCAAAATGTCTTAAGGTAAAATTGTACACAGAGCATGACCAATGTTGTAAAATCCACACAGTGTACAAAACTTTATAGGAAGATCTCTGGAAGAATACTGCAGTTTGAAGCAGAGATTAGCTCAGCAAATGAGGGGATGGGACAAAGCCCTGTTTGTTTTGTTTTCTGTTGTCTTTTCCAAAATTTCAATGATGAGCATGTAAAATGTATGGGGGTAGAGAGGTGGGGGTGTAACTGTCCTTTTTAGCATTAACTGTCACCTGTCACTGTACCACACACAAGACAAGTCTCAATGGATTAACTGCTTTTACTAGTTTGGTCTGTAGCATGCCTATGAGGTAATGTCTTTATTGTTAATTGATGGGGAAGATTCTAGCTCACTGTGAGCAACACTATTCCCTAGGCAATTGATCCTGGGCTGTATAAGAAAGCCAGCTAAACACTGACAGTGTAGGATAAATTAGTGAGCAAAATCCATCGTGGTTTCTGCTATGCTTCCTTGGCTGTGAGTATCCTGGTTGGAGGTAATGCTGCATAGAACAGCAGGCGGTCCTGCCTTCAGGCTCCTGCTGAGCTCCTGCATAGTGATGCACTATGACCTGGAAGTATAAACCAAACAAACCCTCTTCTCTCCTCTCCTCTCCTAAGTTGCTTTTGGCCATGATATTTTTCACAGCAACAGGATCAAACTAGAACAGTAACCACAAAGAAAATTGAATATATTTTTTAAAAGTGATTGCAGGATGGGGAGAAGGCTCTACAGGTAAGCAAACATGTCACCAAAGCTTGATGAACTGAGTTTATTCCCTGGGAACCAGATGATAGAAGGAGAGAAGTGAGTACCCCAAGTTTTCTTCTGAGTTACACATATACTGTAGCAGTGATCTCACTGCTCCCCCAAATAAATAGTAATTTTTCCTTTTAAAGTGGCTGTTTAGAACCTAGTCATTTGTATATACCACCTGCCACATACTGAATGACAGGCATAGGCATTACTTTAATATTCATAAATTTACTAGTATTTCCTTTTAAGCAACTTTACTAGTTTTTACTTTTAAACTCTATAGCATTTTTTATTCTACCATCAAAATTTTCCCTTTTCCTATTAAGAGATATACTTATGGCTTAATTTCTTTCACTGTATCTTCTTTTGCTACAGCATATTCTCAGAGTTACAGGATGACCTGGAACATCCACTATACACTCTTAATCAGCATGATTATTTTGTTCCACATATCTACCATGGACTGGCCATGAAAATAAGGTTGGTATCTTTTCTTACCAAGTTAAATAATTTATCTGAATAATTTCCTGGCAGTAAGATAGCAAAGATGAAATAAAGTGAGACTTTCCCACACACAGTATCTTCCAACACAGAAGGAGGCACAGATTACTTCTCTACTGACCCCTGATTAAATGGGATAATGAGTGTGGCAGGAAAAGGCAAAAGCATGGATACCAAACCAGAGCTGAAATGAAACTAGTCAAAACAGCAAAAAATGGATTATTTGTAAAATTTTGCTTCATTTTAGCTATATTGCTAAGAATTTAAAAATCAGTATAATAAGAAACACAAAACAACACTTATCCAGATATCACATCATACCCTATAAAACTAGCACTGAGAGACGAAGTCTTGAAGAGCCCAGAATTTGGTGGCAATGTGGGCCACACGGTGAATTCCAGGTCAGCCAGGCTATAGAATGAGATACTGTCTCAAATAAATAGATAAATACTCAACAAAACTTCTATCACTGGACTGAAAATGGCCCAAAGATTACTGTTAGTCTGTAAAAGACTGTTGAGGATGGTATCTTAAACATCTTCATTTTTTTTTAAGTACTAGAAATCAATTCTTTCCACCCTTAGCACATACTATTTATTCCTTTCTCCTACCAAGATCCCTCTGCCTCAGCTCTGATTTGGCAAATTTCTGATTCTCTACTTTTACAGGCAAGGACACAGCACAGTGTTCTCTCAAATAATAGCCTTCTAACCTATCAAAGACTTATAGATTTTATACTAACTTTTACACAAATATGCCCCTATAGTAAATGAGGACAACAGACCAACATACCACCCCACCAAGGGATGGGGAGCAAGCCACAATTTTGGAAACACTCTTAGGTGACTCTGAACCTCCTACTTCTAAATGAGAGTAAAAAAAAAAAAAACCCTTTGTGAGCTCCGATGGTCCTTTTTCTTAGTGACTGAGATTAACTGATCTATGGATAATCTAGAAAGAAGATCTAGGGGAAAGATTTAGAAATGTTTAGTCAGTTTATTTTCCATTTTTAACAACAAAAATTTCCAAAAATGAGTAAAAGGAATGTGCAGAAACTGGAGGGCATCATGAGAAAACCAAATCTATGAAGCACAGGTATAGATAAGAGAGAAGAATTCTATGTTAATGGCACAGAACAGATTTTCAACAGAATTATAAAAAATTCCCCAAACTAAGGAAAGACACAACCATACAGATATAAGAAGCACAAAGAACACAAACTAGGACCAAAAAAAAAATTCCCCATGGAACATCAAATTAAAACACTAAATATACAGAACAAAGAGGACACTGAAAGCTGCAAGAGAAAAAAAGCACATGTCACATTTAAAGGCAAAAATAATTGCTGATGGGGACTGTGAAAGCCAGAAGAGCCTGGTGCAATGTTCTCCAAAATACCACAGTTGCCAAACCAGACTACTTTACCCCACAAAACTATATGCCATAATGAAGGAGAAAGAAAAACCTTTCGTGATATAAATAGGTGAAAAAATTATTACCCACCAAGCCTGACCCACAAGGAAACTGGAAGCAATACTTTGGACTGAAGAGAGGATAGGCAAATACAAGAAGCCACATAAAGAAAACAAACGAAGCCATTACTACAGAAACACCAAATAGGACAAAAAACACAAATGAAACAAAAACACAACAAAATGACAGCACTCACCAAATCCTTTTCAATACTAACTTTAAGTACTGGCTTCAATTTCTCAATCAAAAGATAGAGGTTAATTGAATGGATTAAGTAACAAAAACTATCTTTTGTTTCTTACAGGGATTTTAAATGATCATTGAATTATACTGTTTGATTGTGATTATGAATGTGTTTTGAAGCTTTATCAGTAGAAATTTCATAGCATATTACAATTACAATTTTAATTATATCACTATATTCTGTGTGCTCTGGGAGGACAAGACCCAGTGCTATCTACCACATTTACAACTCATTGTCAGATAGTAGCTATAAAATGAACAAATAAGCACCCAACACAGGAGTTTCAGTGTCACACAGATGCTAGAGATAAGAGGCAGTGAAAGACTCTTCTTTGGTGATGTATTGTTGTGTGGTTAACTACTAAATAACTGAGGCTGGACTTGAATTCATGATCCTTCTGCTTCAACCTCCTAGGTGCTAGAATTATAGGCATGTACCACCATGCCCAACTCTGGGGATTTTAATATAAGAATGTAGGCCACACAGTCTGAAGTCTGATTCTAACAATCTAGCCTCTTGGCTTTCCTTCCCTAGCCCATCCCCAACTCACCAGCAGGCTCTATAATCGATAATAACCACATTTACACTAATTCCCAAAGTTTATATCAGGAATTTCACACACAAAAGCTTAAAGGGATCAGGCAGAACAAAAATGCATAAAGGCCGTTGGGTTTAAGGAAACACACAATGAGGCCCTCAGAATCTAGATAGGAAGCCATGGAGATGAGGGTGGTGCAGACTGGACAGGCTGTGCACTGCTCAGACAGGAGCTGCTTGCATCTGTCAGAATAGGCCTCAGGAGTAGTGAAGGGCACAGGTGGTCAGTATTCCTGCATTTTTCAAGAGTATCTGTAAACTCAGAATTCCTAATATGAAATATTGATTTTTATATGTGGCCAGCTACAGCAAGTAAACTGAATAAAAGAAAGGCAAAAGTTATATTCTGTTTTTGGGCCAAAAAAAAAACATTAAAAGATATGCACATTTAGCCCAGCCTGACCTACCACAGCACATGCAGAAATAGTTATAGAATGAATTTCCATACTATAAATTGTGTCCCACAGTTCTTTTGAAATATTCTCTTCTGAGGTCAGATAAACTGGCTACTTTGACACAATTTTCATAAGACAGATGGTAGTGGTGGCTTGGGTGAGAAGTCTAAATTGTGTTAAGCCATTATTAAACAAAATTCATGCTCACAAAACATCCCTATATATTTGTACACTTTTATTTCTCACAGTTTTTTCAAGAACACCCTAAAATGAGGACAGTTGCACAGCTTACCCATTTACCTGCAATAAGACCAGCTTCTCAGCTCAGATGCCCCATCCAGCAGCAGCTCCAAACAGAAGCCAGGATTCCAAAGCTCCTGAATGTGATCAACTATAGATTTTTGCCACCAAAAGCTATATTCTAAATTAGCAAGCCATGTGATATAACATCATATTTAAATTGTACATTATATTGTAATATATTACATATTTAAAGAGTAAAGGAGATATTTTTATTTACCTGTAGTTTCAAAAGGTCTTCTGTGTAATTTTTATCAGCTAAGGAATCAGATGATATTAAGACATGAACCCATGGATAGACGAAGCCATAATGACTGCAGGCATTTATCTGAAACATTACAGAAATGCATCACAAGCCAAACATAACAGCAAAACAAACAAATAATTTCTTCACACATTCATTAATCCTCTGCTACATCTCAGACTCAATTACAAACTCTCCTAGGAAAAGGAAGATTTTTAGAATGTATTTCTCTGGAAAAGGCTGCAGTCTCGTTGCTTCCATACCAAAAATCTGCAATAAATATTTTCTAATATTTTGAAATTTAAAAATATTCTACAGAAGTGCTTTCTAGAAAAAAAAGAATAACATTGTTCTTAAGATAATTATATTCAATAAAAGTTAAAGGTAAGAGTGGAAATAATTTTTATTTATATCCTTTTGGGGGTGGCAAAACATCCTTGTAAGTTCTCAAGATGATCCCCACAGATATCCTTTATCCAAGAAATTACAGTGGTGACCTTTTCAGTCACTGCACAGTAGCCACAGTAGTCATGACAGCCGAGCTGAAAAAGGGAAGCAGAGCAGGATAGGAAGCAAACTGCTACGGCTGCCTTCAACACACTGAAACCAAGTGTGCTCTGACAGGAAATGGAAGCACAGTGGTCTCAGGCCTTCCAAAATTCCTCAGAGGCCCCTTCTTACTCAGTCCTCCACTGACGAGTACAGCTGTGGCAGTGTTCTGAGAAAAGCCCTTCACATGCTGTGACACTGCAAGGGGAACAGGAGTATTCTTTATTTTGAGGGTATAGAATCTGAGACAGGTAGGGTCTCATGTGTAGCCCTGGCTGGCCTGGAAATCCCTTTGTACACCAGGCTGGCCAAAAACTCAGAGATTCACCTGCATCTGCCTCCCAAATGGTAGGACTAAAGGAATGAGCCATGACACCTGGCTTCTAGGTGGTAGTCTTTAAATTTTTATTTATTTACGTGTGTGTATGTTTGTGTGTGCCATGAAGCACATGTAGGGATCAGAAAACAACTTTCAGGAGTCAGTTCTCTCCTGCCACTGTGAATCTCAGGGATGGAACTTAGGTCCTAAGACTTGGCAGAAAGAGCCTTTACCTGATAAGCATTCTTAGCAGCTTCAGGTGGTGTTCTTTAGAATGGGAAAATACATAAGATATGGGTAACTTCAGGTACGTTCTATGCATTCAACATTAAGGTAGGGGCTGGAAAGAGAGTATGTAATGTGTTTACCTCACAAGAATAAAAACCTGAATTTGATTTCCAGAACCTAGAAAAATGTCAGGTATGGCTGTACATATTTGTAAACTCAATGTTGAGGAGGCAGAACAGAAGATACCTGGGGCTCTCTGGCTAGCTAGTACAGCCTAACTGATATCCTGCAGGCCAATTAGAGACCCTGCTGCAAAAGAAATGGACAGAGTTCCTGAGAATAATACCTGCGAGTGACCTTTAGGATCTGCACACAGAGTATCTACATGTGTGCATATGCACAGCTTGCTTGTGCTCTCTCTCTCTCTCTCTCTCTCTCTCTCTCTCTCTCTCTCTCTCTCTCTCTCAAAAATAAAACAAAACTAAGAACAGATTATTGTAGCATGTAATGTATGCATTTAAGGTACTATTTCATTATCTTACCAAATCCTCTGCTGTTCTCAATGGTATGGTATCAGGATACTGCCTCTTGGATAATCTCCAGATGTACTGAGATAAAAGCTTGAAGAAGAGTTCCTGAAGTACCTTGTTTGGGAGACAAGCTACCAGCTGAGCTTCCCAGAAGTCTACCAAAAGCTGAGGAATTGTGTCTTCATCTTTTCCACACAGCACCTTGAAAACAGGGTACCCCACATAAATGCTGAGCCAGATGTGACAACAGAGCTACCGCTCCACCATGTGGTCATGTAGTTTATGTGGTCATGTGGTCATGGCCTGACAGCCATGGCAAGAGCAAAGTTACATATTTTTTTAAAAATAAGGAACAGATTCTAGGTTGTATGCATGAAGTTTCTGCAGAAACATTCTTTTTAATCTGTATGTTTACATTATAAACATTATACAGAAGTCTGTCTTTTCAATAATGAATGAAAATTCACTTCAGTTCTATTTCCTACTCTCCTTTGTTTTCTATCAGGTTGTTCAGAAAAATTATATTTTCAACTGGACAAACCTTAAAGAAAGAATCTGCTTCTTCAATTCCAATTTTACCATTTTTCTGTAAGCCCAGGACTGAAGCCACAAGCAATCCAGGCTGAGTTTCCTTCAAGTGAATTGCAAGTTCAGTAGGAGCAATCTGGCCTTTCCACTGTTGAATTAACAGCCGAGGTTCCAGAATGAAGCCATATACCAGCTTCATCTTCAGATTAAAAAAGAAATGTTAGAATGCAGTGTATATTACAAATCAACTTTACTCATCTCATACATACATCCTAATGCATTCATGATTTAGGGGAAAGTTATTAACATTTTATTTCTATTTTTTAGCCACAAAAACTAACTCTGATCCCAAGAAGGATACCATTAGCTGTATTATATAAATTACTAATAGATAACTAAACTTAGAGATGTTCCATTTTTGTAAAGAGTTTTAGATTCGGAATATATGTCCTAAGTCTTCTCAAAATTATGGAAAGAAAACTCTGATTTTCAGAACTCTGCTCTTTTAAGCAGATGCCCTAATGCTGACTTCTTCTCATAGCAAATTGTCTCCTGGTATAATCTTTCTTGTTTCAGAAAACATGTTTATACTGTGAGCAAATATTTGACCAAGCAGGCAACAATAAGAAGAAGGCCCAGGCTCTAAAGTCACCTTGCCTATAAAAGCTGACCAACTGTGCGATCATAGACAAGTTATTTTGGCTCTGTGTCTTAGGGGTCTCATGTGTGTAACAGTTATGACAACACTGACCTCAGCACTAAACAAGAATGAAATGAAATAATACATGAAAGATTTAGAATAGGCCTGGGACATAAGCACACAAATAATCCCCTTACCCCCACCTTAAATGATTAGCATCTTTGGCCTCTGTTTCCTCCTTTGGTGTACCATTTAAATATCCACTACTCCATGGTGTCACTTGTGGTTTTTTTCTGAGTGGACAGCATTTTTGCACCTATTAGACTCATATGGTTTACAGTTAATATCCTTCTTTCTATACTTGAAAAAACTCATTACCCTATTATGCTTCCAGGGAACACACTGTCTCTTATACCTACTCTAATCGCCAACTCTGGGCACAGCTTTTATATTCTTCTGTATCAAACATAATATTCTGAATATATGTGGTACTAAGATGATGAAAGATCTTTGAATAGCCACTTAGATTAGTTCCCATCTAATACTGTCTGTTATCTGTTACTAGGAAACCATGAGCTAGGCCAGGAGGTGGTGGCACACACCTTTAATCCCAGCACTCAGGAGGCAGAGGCATGCAACTCCATGAATTCAAGCCCAACCTGGTATACAGAACATGTTCCAGGACAGCCAGGGCAGTTACACAGAGAAACCTTATCTCAGAAAAAAAAAAAAAAAAAAAAAAGGAAAAAAAAAGTAGAGGCCATGAGGTACAAAGCCAGAAGAAAGCCAAATGCCTCGGGACAACCTCCAATCCTCTTTCAGACTGTGCTCAACACCAGGCATGGTACTATACCTCTGAATGGCTCTTCATTTCATTTCTGTACATGTCAAGATCTCCCATTTTCAAGGCCATTGCTGCCTTGGTCAAGGTCACTAAGACTGGTGAAAATTCACAAGTATCCAGATTCTTTAAATAATGCAAGGCAGTTAAAGGACTGATATTCTTCATAGAAGGACTACAGAGGACATGAGGCAGTTGCTTCGGCTCAGCCACATGAAATATCTGAGCCACTTTTGCTGCTAATTCCTTTGATGAATATGAACAAAGTACAAGAGGTTAGCCAATAGGAGGAATATAATCAGAACAAAAGGAATGTATGCATGTAAAGCCAGTATATAAACAATATAATGTTATGATTGAGAAACAGTGTTCATAAAAATATTTGGGAGACTAGAAATGAGATGGCATGATCTGTCTACAGAGGTGCAATAAGAAAAAGAAATCAGTGAAAAATAGATACCAATTTGTGACCAACATTTCTAATTTTAATCACATAGGAGAAAATATTATTATACTTAAAAGTCTACAATTTAAAAACTACAACGTAGTTCAAAATATATACAATAATATAACTCAAGAGAAATTTTACTTCCCATGAAATCTCCAAGTAGACAGTATTGCAATTTCCAACTGTGCTTAAAACACAAAATACAAAAATAAACTTTAATAATGTCTTAACAGGTCACTGGCCCATTTGACGTTTGGACACTTGAAAAATAAGTCAAATGGAGTTGTGAAAAAAATCATACTGCAAAGGAAGGCAGGGACCTGATTCTGTCCTTCACTTCAAGAATAGATGTCACTATGATTGGGCAGGTCCCTCAACCACAACAGATAACATCTCCATGATGAATATTGAGGAAATATGAGAAGGTGACCCCTAAACTCTTTTCCCAGCTATAATCCTAAAATCATTAAAGGAGAAAAGAGCACACTGATTTCTTTTTAGTATAAAAAAAAAGAAGAAAATATTTCGAACTTAAGTTCTAAATACTATTTACTAAAAAATTATTAAAATGAAAAGTTAAAAACAGAAACTGTATAGGAAATTATATTCACTTCACTTAATTCTTCATCCAGGTTTTCATAAAGTGAATGATTAATATAAAATAATAATCCTCTCTCATATTTCTGTGATTCACTCTCTCCTGTCCAGTCCACACGGGTCAAAACTTCAGCCAGAGACAAACCAGACATCTTATAGTACGGTAAGGCGAGGTGGGATTGCTCAGTGTCAAGCCTAAAGAGAGAGAAATTTTAAAGGGCTTCAACTTGTTCATTTCTAAACCAGCTACTTAAAATAGTTAATAATAAAACAGATAATGCTTTCAAAGAAATAAGCCTCACAGTGCTTTTCTCCTGCCACTAGTAACCATATAGTTTGATTTTATTTAATTTCACTCCAATTTGCAGTTTCTTTTTTCCTGAATGCAATAAAGGTGGAATAGCAATCATTCATTAAGTGAATTTTAGGTTTTCATTTTTGGTTTTTCAAGACAGAGTTTCTCTGTGTATCCCTGGCTGTCCTGTAACTCACTCGGTAGACCAGGTTGGCCTCAAACTCAGAGATTCACCTGCCTCTGCCTCCTGAGTCCTAGGATTAAAGGTGTGCACCATGACCACCCAGCATGAATTTTAATATTTAATATGCCTCTAAAATAATGGCATTTATGGTTCAGCATAGTCTATTTATAATCATTTACACCAGCTAAATAAGCCTGTAAAACAACTGTCTACAAAAACTTTTATAAACTTGGTTCTCAGAAATAAAAATCTCTATTGACCTTAGTATTTCTTTGTGACATCAAGAAAACACTGATTACTAATATTAAGATCTCAGACTATTCCAATGACACCCCTCCCTCAAGCTAACAGACAAGAAACAAGTACCAAAGCTATCTCAGGTCTTTTTTCCTGGTCATATGCCCCTCAAATCCTGAAAACAAAAATAAAGTAAAAAAATAAATAAAAAGTAAATAAATAAATAAAACCACCCTCCCATATTCAAAAGTTTAGTAGTGGATTTACTATTTCTCTAACAAACTGTGACACTTTCAAGACACTGGGTAGGTCATATTCATTTTGTATCTCTAAGCCTACCACAGTACCTGACCCATAGCATACATTCAACAAATGCTTGTAAAATAAATGAAAAAAGTGAACCAACTCCTAGAGATTAAAAAAAAAAAAAAATCTGGTAAGTACATGTAAAATTCTGTAACAAAGCTTAAGAGGTCTCACCAACCTGCTGTAACAGTCTCCAAGATGCCCACAGCTTTCTTTAAATGCTTCTAAGAGCTCTGCTTTCTCTGCAGGCTCCAGCTGACTGCCATCCATCAGGGCAGCTCTCACTAGCAGATGAGCCTCACTGAGCAAGTGGATACAGCTCTGGGTTTTCACAGTCTTGTAGGTGTTACTGTAGTCTACCTGAAACAAAAAGACAAACAGCTAGTGTTGCTGAAGAAAGATCACCAGTTCCCTACCCCGTCTCCACTCTGAAGAACTTCATTACATTTTGTTAATAAAATTAATATATAAGTATATAAAACACTAAAAGTAAGTAAAAAAGTGGTTGCATATTTTCTTAGTTTGCTTTTTATTGCTATGATAAAACACCACCATCAAAGGCAACTTGGGGAAGAAAGGGTTTATTTGGCTTACAGGTCACAGTTCACTAACAAAAGCCAAGGAAGGAACCTGGAGGAAGGAACCAGGAGGCAGGAACAGAAACAGGGACCAGAAAGGATCACTGCTTAGGCTTGCTCAGCCTGCATACCCTCCTGATTAAAGTAAGCTAAGGAGACACAATAATTAAGCACATTGCCCAATTCTAGAATGGATTGGTGGGAAAGCCATCAAGCCATGGCTGACTCCACTGACTAAACTGGGTGGGATATGAACTATGGGCTAGATATTGTGTCAAGATTAAATTTATTGAAGCATATGGATTACCATGGTTATATAGGTGTATCTTATTATTTAAAGTTAAAAGCTGTGATGTATGCAGTTACTTTTCAATGGACCAAGGAAAATAACTGTGTTGGGAAAGAACAGGAGCACATGAGGGCAAATTGGGAGGAGTACAGACTACAATCTGTGTGTCAGCTGTAAGGTTTTCTTTGTATATTTATCATTCCTTCAATTTATCTAAGCTTGGCATTATTTAAAAGAAAAGTGTTTTAAGTGCCAGAGATGAGTAAGGAGCTGTGAATCTTGAAACAGGACAAGAATTCTACTCTAGGCCCCTCACCAGGCTGCTACTGGAGCTACTGTACCTGGACAACCTATTATACTTGGAAGTAAGAGTGTGACAGAAAATAATTACCTGAGATTTTTGTTTTTTCACCTCCATTTCCTGGTTCTCTTTGTTAGGTGCTTTAGTTTGGCTTCTGTTGCTATGATGAAACACTGATCAAAAACAACTTGGGAGGAGGAAAGGGTTTATTTGGCATAAAGCTTATAATCTATATTGAGGGAAACCAAGGCGTGGAAACAGGAATTGGAGCAGAAGCCATGGGGAAACACTGTTTCTGGGCTTGCTCCCATGGCTTGCTCAACCTGCTTACTTATATCACCCTGGACCACCTGGCTAGAAAGTGGCATTAACAGTGAGATTGGCCCTCTTACCTTAATGATTAATTAAGACAGAGCTATAAGGAAATCTGATGAAGGAATCAATTAAGATTTCCTCTTCCCAGGTTATGTATAGGTTTGTGGTATGTTGACAAAAAACAACCAGCACACTAGGACTCAAAATCAATGGATTAAATTAGTTCAGTAGTCCTCTCTGGAGGGTGAGTATAAGTGGCCTCTCAAATGCCAGAAGCTGTGAAAACAAGGTGAAGAAAGATACATGCTTGACTGTCGTGATGGAGCCTGGAAGCTGTCTGGATGCAGCAAACTGAAATGTATAATTGATTTAATCCATTTTGTTTTTCTCTTTTGAGGTTTCCTTAGTGAAATACAAGGGACAGAGGCAGGGTAATAACAAGAGCAACATCTGTCTAGAACCACTCTTTCACATTCAATTTCACTCTAAATTTCTATAAAGAAGAATCAGATGTCTGAAAAAGTACCATTTCTTTGTATAGCTGAACTGGTGCAATGGTATTCACAACATACAGATTCCATCCGGCCTCGGCTATGGGAGGGATTCTGCTCCTAACACTGGCATCTTTTCTAGAACTGAAAGGGATCAGAATTACAAGACATGTTATTAATAAATTACCGTTCTCACCTGTAAATATTGGGTACTGTAAAAATAATACAAGTATTACATCACTTTCATTTAATTTTTCCTTGGTAATTAGCTATACACATAGTCAGTTTCCAAAGTTCACATCACTTCACAAGTATATAGCATTTACTATTCTGTCATATACTGGTAAGCCAACTTGCCTCCAATTCTCTAAGACTAAGGTCCCCAAATAGAGGATTTTCAAAACCTATCAGTTTTGAAAATCCTCATGTCCAGGCCCTCTTCATTGTGGCTTCCTTGAGTCCAGCATGCCATGGACCACAAAATCTTAACAGAAACAACATGTAAATGTTCACATCACTGGAAAAATGTTGAAGATACATAAGCCTGTGAGTTGGCTTAAAGTGTTATCTCTTACTGTGATGTATTTTCTTTAATATAAAATGGATCATTCTTTAATATAAAAATATAATAAGCTCTTTTATAACATAGAAATGACCTTTGGATAAAAAGTGTAGTACTGAAATGCCAAAGAGGAGAAACAGGAAAAAGCTTTGTGGCCAGGATTAACATTATGGGTTCTGTCTATGCCCATAATTCCACAGAGAAGGCACATCTTTTATATTCTTATCCACAGTACAGGCGATAGCTACTAAAACTATTTTATAATTCATTTCTTGTAAAAGTTCCATGGTCAATTACAAACAATATTATAGAGATCATTACACCTTCCTTATTTTCTCTGGAAAAGCCACCTATCTGATCATTCTGAGTTTTAATTAAAAAAATAAAAGTAAGACACATATACAATATACCAGTTACACTTCATTTCAGAAACTGGCAGAAATGTGTGGGGCTCAGGGAATACTTACAGAAGCCTCTTGGGTGACTCTTTTCTCTCTGGAATGGATTCAGGGTCTGCCTTGGTCAGAAGTATGATGTGGTTTTTAAAATGACAGATGGCTTTCAAGCCTATGAAAAGCTGTATTCTTAGAGCACACACATCCATAGTAACAGGTGGGCAAGCCTAATAAAGAAAAAAAATTACGAATTTAACCAAGGAATGAAGGTATGTGAATCTCATCTTCAAACATCAAGGCTGGGGATGTAGCTCAGCTAGCAGAGTACATGAAGCCCTGGTTCAGTCACCAGCATGGCATAGTACCAGGGATAGTAGCTCACATCTCACTCAAGAGGTGGATACAGGATGATCAGAAATTCAAGGTTATAGTCAGGTACAAAGTAACTTAGAGGCCAACCTGAGATACATGAAACCCTGTGTTTAAAAACAAACCCACAAAGTCTGTCTGTTCATTTGATAAAAATTCTCCACTCAGTTCTTGTTCTTTACAATACTAATCTATACATGTCACCCACCACCTACTTTATAGATCTTTTTTGAACTGCTAACTATAAATACAGAGAGAGGGTCTGAGAGCTAGGGGAACTATTGCAGAATAGTCTTTGAAGACCTTGTCCTTTCTGTACTTTCTTTTTCACCAAAGCCAATTCTCTCTCAGCTTCACCTGATAATTCTCTTGGACTATTTCAGTCCTTGTCACCCTTTAAGAATTTGACCAAATTACTCAGTTCATCTTTTTACTCCAACAGTGGTCTGTAGATAGGAAATGTCTCTGAATAATCTTTGAAAGTCATTAAGAGTCTGTAATCGATCTCTCCTAATTTGCATGTAAAGATTGTCTTTGTATATTCGCATAATCGTCTTCTCCAAGAATTTGATCTTGGAACATTTCTATACCTCTAACGCTACATTGTTGTTCTATAGTCTCAGCCTCCTCTTTCCATCATGTCTTCCATTGTAATCAGGTTCCAGTCTGTAAATCAGCTGTATCCATTTTTCCAGTCTTGAGGGATAATTCTATTACAAGTTGATCATGATTTTAACATCTGCTTTACAAATGGAGAATGCTTGCCATATGAGACTATAGCTTCCTTGAAAATTCTCAAATCTAACATTTGCACAGGAGTCCAATCAGCTCATACACAGCCTTGAGCATTTGGCAGTTCCTGTAAGGTTACTGGATAGATTAAGGTTGGCTGTTTGAAAGCCTTAGACTGTTTCTCTGTAACCATATAATGCAATGCTGAGACAGGTTCATCTTTAAATTCTTCTGTCTGGGTCTGAATATGTCTATGATCTATTTTAAGAAGGTTTTCTAAAACTTTTATCTTGGCACTCAAATAACTAACCTTTCTAATAATAAAACAAAATGATCAAACAAATAATATTCATAATTGACATTATACAAAAACCATCAACATTAATTATCCTTCCATTTCATTGCTCTATTTCCACAACACCTAATATGTTATCAGACAGAGAACAAATTCCCTCCATCAGAAAAATGTTTCCCACATTTTTAATGTGGGAGAAAAAATTCTCTTTTAACTAATTTCTCCTTTTAAGATATCTTAATTGACTCACCAAGTCTGCCGACCGCATAGAACAGGAGAAGCCTGAGGGAGTTTCAAGGCAGGTACCTAGTGTGGTAGCAGTCTGAGATGGGGATTCATAGAGAGCCCATAACCCACTAGGAGAGAAGAAGCCAAAGAGACTCTGGCCCACGTGGGGTGGAGCCTCCGTCCACTTGCAGCTCGGGCCTGAGCCCTAGTCAAGAGGCTTTTTTGTGAATTTGTGCCACAAACGTTGGTTCACCAGATGTAACACGAATTGCTAAGCAGTCTTATTAATTAAAAAAACCTGGAGCCAGATATTGGGGTGAAAGCTGAGAGGAATATAACAAGCCATTCACAAGTTCTTACAGCTAGGAAATCCTCAGCCCACAAAAGCTACTTCCTGTATACTCACGCCTTATATACTTTTCTATACCCTGCCATCTTACGTCCTCTGTCCACCTAGCTACATCACTTCCTCTTTCTGTCCAGCTCTATCACCTCTCTCCCAGTCCAGCCACAAAATCTGTTTGCTTTTCCCTTCCCAGGGAGATCCTTATGTCCCCCTTGAGCCCTCCTTGCTTCATGGCCTCTCTGGGTCTGTGACTGTAGCTTGATTATATTTTACTTTATAGCTAATATCTACTTGTGAGTACATACCATATTTGTCTTTCTAGGTCTTTTCAGTTTCATGAAGTCTCATTTATTTATTGTTTATGTTAGTGCCTGCACTATTGGTATTCTGTTCATGAAATTGTCTTCCATGGCAATGTGTTCAAGGCTATTCCCTACTTTCTCTTCTATTAGGGTCAGTGTATCTGGATTTACTTTGAGGTCTTTGATCCACTTGGACTTGTGTTTGTGCAAGGTGACAGATATGGATCTATTTGCATTTTTCTACATACCAGCATCCAGCTAGACCAGTATCATTTGTTGAAGATGCTTTTTGTTTCCCCATTGTATGTTTCTGGCAGCAGCCCAGGCTGGCCTCCAACATGGATCAGTCCTCCTGTGTCAGTCTTCCAAGTGCTGGGTTCACAGGTGTGAACTACCACTCCTGGTTCTATAGTTTTGCTTTTAACAGACATATTTGTAACAACCGTACAGAACTATTAAAACAGTATTGTGCAATTTGTTCAGTTGAAAGTAGTGCATGAAAGTGGTTTCTTTTACTATCATCAGAATACAATTCTTTATTTTCCAAGGCTTTGACAATTTTCTATACTCTAAAGTTTCTCAATATGCTGGATCAATAATTTCATTTTTGCTTTTAGTGAGAATATCCTTAATATCAGAAAATCTTTGAATACAACTGAATGTAGGCAAGTTTTTGATGATCATCTGACATTGAATTTCTTTTCTCTGTAATGCAGTCATCATCTGCATAACAGTATGTGCTATTTCATTTCTAAGGTATAAGCTAATTGAATGAATATTCATAACAATTATGCTTGCTGCAAGTAGCCCCCAAATTATTCTGCCCTGGTTTTCACAGGTTACTTTATGTCTACCTTGAGTGTCTTTTTTTTTTGGTGGTTGTGGTGGTGCTGTTGTTTAGTGATGGTTATATTAGTTAGTAACTAGCTGTTTTGTCCTGCCTAGTGAGCCTGAGGTATGGGTACCACAGTACTATCAACAGGTATTGAAGAGTGACTGTGTCCAATAGAGTGGGTTCATTTTTTACCTGCTCGACTGTAGTGCTGTAGTTTTCTGTTGCTGTCTTGGCTTACTTTTTGCTTTCAGCTGCTGGGAAAACTAAGATTTGTTGATTTTTCTGTACTTTTTTTGATGTGCACAGCATCAGTGGAGGTATGAGAGGGAAGGCAGTGGTTCACACCTTCTGGCTCCCTTTCCCCACTGCCTCACTAGTTCGGAAACCGTAGATGCTACTGAGTAAGCATGCAATCAATTCACCCACTTGCTAACCATAGAGGCCTGGAGGTCTGTACAGACAGACAGGAAATGATAGAGCTGGGTGGAGAAAGGAAGTGATAAGGCAGGGCAGAGGGAGGAGCTCACTCTCTTTCAGTGGAGGATTTTCTAGGGGTAAGAACTAGTGGCTTGCTGCTCTGCCTCTCTTATCTTTCAGCTTTTACCCCAATATCTGGCTATGGGTTTTTTTATTTATAAGACTGTTTAGCAATTTTTGTTACATCTGGTGGTGACCCAGCATTTGTGGTATGAATTCACTAAAAAGCTGCTTGCCTATAGTCTTGCAGGCCTCTGGCTCAGGCCCAAGCTGCATGTGGCTGGAGTCTCCACTCACGTGGGCTGGAGTCTCCTTGGCTTCTTTTCTCCTGGTGGGTTTTAGGCTCTCTCTGGATCCCCATCTTGGGCTGCTACCACACTAGGTAGCTGCCTTGAAACTTGCTCGGGCCACTACTGCTCTACACAGAAACAGTCAGCCTCACATCTGAAGGGTCACTGTCGGCAAATTTGGTGAATCAACTACCAGGAATAGACCCAGCAGAAATTGTAGTACCTGTAACTACACTGTAACAAAATGATGAAATTGACAAATTATGGGCAGAAAGTGAACTTCGGCAAAGAGCCTGCAGTAATTTTTTGGGAGAGATTAACAACAAATATCCCAAAAAGATAGAAATAAATATAAAGAGAGCTAACTGGATCTTGTCTCACATTGCATGGGAAACACCAATATCTGGAGCCTCTACATTTTATACAGACACAAACAAACAAGGAAAGGCAGGTTACAAATCAGAAAATTTAAGTAAAGTGGTTCAAAGTCCTTATAATTCTGTACAAAAATCGGAATTATAAGCCACTCTGATGGTATTAATGAATTTTTGGGAACCTCTCAACATAGATACTGACTCTCAGATTGGTCTTACATATTGAGACTGTAGAATTTATCCCTGATGAGTCAGAATTAACTTTGTTATTTATTTGGTTACAAGATATAATCAGGAATAGGAATCATCCCTTATATATAACTCACATCTGATCCCATACAGGTCTACCAGGACTTCTAGCACAATAGAAGATCGATAAACTATTGATAGGAAATGTGCTGGAGGTCTCAGAATTTCATTAAAAACATCATGTCAATAGTAAGGGTTTTCAAATGGATTTTTCTGTAACCTTGCAACAAGTCAAGGAAATTACAAGGAAATGTCCTACTTGTTCTTTTACAATCAAGCTCCACTACCAGCAGGATGCAACCCAAAGGGTACTCAGAGGAATGAAATCTGGCAGATGGAAGAGTTTCATTTTGTAGAATTTGGAAAATTGAAATATGTACACCACACCATTGATAACTATTCAGGATTTCAATGGGCAACTGCTCTAAGTTCCATAAAGGCTGATTCTATAATCACACATTTACTAGAAGTTATGGCCATTATGGGTATACCTGTACAAATTAAAACTGATAATGGTCCAACATTATGTCTCTGCTTATTTTTTGTAGTAAGTTTTTTGCTTATTACAATATAAAGCATATTACAGGTATACCACACAATCCTATGGACCAAGCAGTCATAGAGAGATCAAACTGAACTCTAAAGGATAAGATAAATAAACAGAAAGGGGTAGCAAAAGCCTCCAGAAATAGATTACATAATGCTCTATTAACTCTGAATTTTCTCAATGCTAATGAGAAAGGAACAACAGCTGCAGAGAGACATTGGATGAGGTTTGCTTTTTTTTTCTACAGGAGAAGAAAAGCTATGGATACCATCAAAATTGATAAAGGTTCGATTTGAACAAGAGAGATCTCTTAATTAGAAGAGGTGATAGTTCATCAACCAGCATGACCATTAAATTTAAACTAACTTATAGCACTAACAAATGCTTTCCATTTAATCAGATACAACTTGCCAAAAGTGAAGCTCCCCAAAGTCAGTGTTGGGGAAGGGTTTTTGTTTTTGTCTTTCAGGAGAATGAAGGCTAAAGAATCTGAAGAACACTGGACAAATGAGACATCTGAAGGAAAAGAACAAATCATCCAGAAAAAAATGTCCCAAGAAAAAGAGTTAATTGTCCTATTGGTATATCACATATCTAACTGGATAAAATTTCATAAGTCTTCCTAAATGTTTGTTTCTGCTTTTCTCTACAGACACAGAATGCAAATGGTCTTTATGTAGTCCCAGATCAATTAAAAAATTAAAGCTGGATTTGGAGTTGGACTGTGGCTCGCTCCTTCTCTAAATCCAACCATGCTTATTTAAAAAAAATCCAAAATCTCTGTATCCTGTCCAAAGAGCCATTTTATTTGGGACAGAAGAAAAACCAAAATTAAGGGACTAATCTGTCGCGACTAATCTCACAATTTTTGGTTCTATTTTGACTCTTTAAAACTTTTAAACTTTTGTCATGATATTAATGGTCACATAGAATAATAACTAATCCTAGAAAAAAGGCTTTATCTAGCTTCCTATACATGATATCGGGTTTGAGTTTCTATCAGTTTTCTGAAGGGAACCACGATCGCATCTAACTGTGACTTTGAAGTCACCAAAAAGATAATGGGGCCCCACAAGAATGATTCCATCAGGATGATGATAATACCACTAAGCTGACAAACACCACCCAATGATTGGTTTTGGACTACAAACTGGTCAGGACAAATTTAAGATGGCTAGCTGAGATGATCCATCCTCACAGACTATTCGAGCAAGGACTTGAGACAAGCCCTGCATTTTCTCATTATTTAGAGACTGGACAAATGATACAGCTAACTCTCTCAGAACTTGACAATTAGCCCATTTTTTTTTTCTTTTCAGGATCTCCTAAAGATATTGTCACCCCTAGACGGCAGGAAGTAATTTTAGGAAAATGATGCCCACATTCCCAAAAGGTGGGGTGGTGGGTTTTGGTCTTTCAATGGGTTATGGATAACTGTCATTGTTTAGGATGGTTGGTTACATGTTGTTAATTGATAATGGTCAGGAGAAAAACGCTAAACAAGGAGATTAGATTCAGGGTTCTTATTTGAGAAAAAAAAGTGATATAGAAATAATAGGATAAAGGAGTAGATTATTGAATCTACTCTGAAAAGAAAAGGGAAGATATAGATATAAGATTAAAAAGGTAGTTTATTGAATCCACTTTAAAAAAGCAACTATTAGTTTTATATATTTTACATTGGATTGGATTTCTGTATAATGTATATAAAATACATATATTGATACAAATTTGAGATTGATTTTGTTGGAAAATACTGTACATATATTTCTAATCTTATTCAAGGTGTTGTACCTATACAGTTCATTTAACAATGTAATGTAATTTGCTAGTCCTTGAAAGATATTACCAACTATTTAGGATAATAAAAAAATGCAGGTTAGTAGTCAGTCATTACAATTGAACCTGTAGTCATATTAGATATGTTTTCAATCAAATAGAGATATATTTTAGATAGACAGGTCATCTTCAAACACTTCAGAGATCTGCACAATATGGCATTTAAGATGTTTTAATAACATAAGATTTTTTTTTCTTTTTTTATATAATGAGACATGTCTGCTCCTGGCATCACCAATCTACTTCCGAGAAGATGATGGGCATTGAAGAAACTCCTTTGGAGATTACTTTCATTGTGGCAAAAGTTAGCCAAGAAACTGCCCTTGCCTGGACTGCAGGCAAAATGGACAAGCAGAACACAAAAGAAATTATTGCTGATCCTTGCCAAAACAAGGTAGGAAGGCTCTTTAGAAAATCCTGCTTCACAGATGATTCTGTCATATATACTAGGTCTGTAGGCTGAAAATGGATGCCCCAATGTTGCAGAGAAACCTCAGGTGATTGTCCTGGCAGCCAGCTGTTTCTGTCATTCTTCACATTTTTTGGAAGTCACTTGTTTGGACTTGCTGTTTAACTAGGTAACATTATTTCCTTCTCGGATTTGGAGAGAGTTAAAGATTAGATAGTTATAGTTTTTCTTATTAACAAATTCGAAGAGAAACTCACTAAAGAGTGTAAAGTGTGTAAGTTTGAAAGACATCAAAAGACAGTTTTCGGTTGGTAATACAAGTTAGGATAGAAAGTGAATAGATACATGTTGGACTCACCAAAATAGCATAGATAATGGAATATTTTCACTGAATTTGTCAAAGGCAAATGGACTACACTTTGTTGATGTATTTATTTCCTGTATATACTGTATATAGTTATTGTACTTATTGTATATAGTTTTTCTTATATTATAATTTTTTTATTTTAGACAAAAAAGGGGAAAATGGGTGGTATTTTATTTGTGCTCTAACAAATAAAGCTTGCCTGGGGATCAGAGGATAAAGCCAGCCACTATATTAAACACAGAGGTCAGGCAGAGATAGCATATGCCTTTAATCTTAGCATTCAAGAGGCAGAGATTCAGCCAGATCTCTATGAGTTCAAGTCCACACTGGGAAGAGAGCCAGGCATGGTGGCACAGACCTTTAATCCCAGCATTAGTTAACCATAAAGGTCTGGGGGTGTGTACAGACAGATATGAAGTGATAGAGCTGGGTGGAAAAAGGAAGTAATGTAGCTGGGCAGAGAGAAGAAGTAAGATGGCAGGACACACCTTTAATCCCAGCACTCGGGAGGCAAAACCAGGTGGGTCTCTGTGAGTTTAAGGCCAGCCTGGTCTACAGAGCGAGATCCAGGACAGGCTCCAAAGCTACACAGAGAAACCTTGTCTCGAAAACAAACAAACAAACAAACAAAAAATACAACAACAACAAAAAAGATGGCAGGGCACAGAAAGGTATATAAGGCGTAGGCATACATGAAGTAGCTCTCTTGGGCTGAATATTTCTTAGCAGTAAGAACTTGTGGCTGGCTTGTTCTATTTCTCTGATCTCTCAGCTTTTACCCCAATATCTGGCTCTGGGTTTTTTATTAATAAGACCATTTCAGCAATTGGTGTTATAGAGATGAGATGAAGGGGAGGGGTTGGGAGAAGGAGATGGAGGGGAAACTGTGGTTGAAATATATGAGAGAATAAAAGACTGAAAACAAAAGAAGACAAAAAATATGTCATAGTTACAAACTTGCCCTAATTAATACATTTATTAAAATAGAAGTAGGGCTACTATTGCTAAAATGAAACATCATGATCAAAAGCAAGATGGGGAGAAAAGAGTTTATTTGGCTTACACTTCCACATTTTTCAGCACTGAAGGAAGCCTGGACAGGAACTCAAGCGGGGAAGGAACCTGCAGGCAGAAGTTGATGCAGAGACTATGGAGGAGTGCTGCTTACTGGCTTGCTCCTACGGCTTCATTAGTAGCCTGCTTTCTTATAGAACCCAGGACCACCAGCACAGGGATACCCTCCACCACCATGATGGGCTGGGTCCTCCTACACCAATCACTAACTAAGAAAATACTCTACAGGCTTGCCTATACCCTGATTTTATGGAGGCATTCTCAATTGTGTTTCCCTCCTCTCAGAGGACTCTAGCCTGTGTCAAGTTGACATAAAATTAGCAGGCACAATGAATAAAGCCTTCTTGGGTCTATAGTCTTTTCCAAGCTTAGGTCTAAGAACAAGTTTGCAAGCATTCATGCCCTCCCTTGAGCTCAGTGTCTTACTGTCATCAGAAGCCAGCTCTAACCTTCAACGTATTATCCATGCACAGGTCCTCTTCATGAGCCACTGCTGCACTGCACCGCACTGTGAAACACTGCAGGCTTTGGCTAAGGAAGAAGAGAGATGCCACTAAGCAAAGAGGGGGTCAAGAACCAATGTACTCACTGTGGTGGGAAGGGCTTCATCAGCAAACAGCAATGGCAGAGGGCAGAAAACAATGCTAGTATCTGTTACATGATAGTGAGTTAGTCTGGTTCTTAGAAAGGATAGTGTTGCGGAATCCCTGAGGCATGTTTGTAGACTACCTCATTCCCATGGACTCGAAATCTCAAGCACTGACTGTGATGTATACCCACATTTAATAGTCAGGCTATCCAGGCTGGAACCAACATCCTCACTTAACCAATAGCAAAATGCCCCTAACAGTAGCTCACAGTATGAATGGTTGACTACTAGAACCCAGAATTAGAATCTGCTTCCTGATGCTGCCTACTGTTCAGTTGGAAGCTCTGCCTCAACCTCCCTCCTCCCTCTCCAAACCCTGCCCCTCTCCTCCCCTGAAACCTCCTCAAGAGCACACCTACAGGTTATTTAATCTTCCTGTACCTAGACGTGCCTCATGATTTCTCCTTCCCCTCCCCTGCCTTACTTCTAGGGGGCTTGAGAGTGTGGACTTTTAATTCGGCTCGATCTGGCTTATTGCATCGGCAGAGAAACCCACTATAGGGGATTCAAATACCTATTACCTATCATACCATCTCAGAATAAAATTCAGCCTTGATTATGAAGTATGACCAACTCAGACTACACAAACACATGAATGGTAAAATGAAAATGAGACAAGACTCTTCAAAATGCCTTGTAAACTGGAAAAGTTCATATTGGCTGCCACCTTTCTAGAGAGTAAAACCAACTAGACACAAGGCTCCTGACTCCTTTATCTCCTATAACCCAAGGGTCATTGGGCAGGGTAAAGGACAGATTGAGGGCACACAGACACCTGGCTGTTATCTGCTGTTATCTAAATCAATAGCAATATTGATTAAAAAGCTATTTACTGAGAAATTACTACCAAATTCAGCTTGTAAAGGATTTACAAGAATGACACTGGAAACAAACTAGAAACTTGGAGAAGTAAACATGAGCTCTTAAAAATTAGGAAAAAAGGCTAGGTGTGGTGGGTGATGCATACCTTTTGGAACTCAGGAGACAGAGACAGAGCTCTGTGAATTTAAGGCCAGTCTGGTCTACATGGTGAGTTCTGGGATAGCCAGAGCTACATGATAAAAAAAATCCTGTCTAAAAAAAAAAAAAAAAAATACCTAAACCAAACCAAACAGTAGCTAGCATTAAACTGGAAGTGGTGGCACCTTTTCAGCCGTGCTCTGTACCTCATATGGCAAGGCATGCACCAGGCCTCTGCCCAGTTCTCAATGCTACCATTTTCATCTCACACCACTGTTAAGTGTCATTCTCACAGTTACAGGAAATAATCTCTGATGCTACCACATAAACTAGGATACCAGCACTAGCATTTACTAATGTACACCAGAGAAAGCAACCTTGTGATGTGAAGAGAGCCTGACAGAATGAGGCACAAACAACATCTGAATGGGTCTAGAATGACAGTGAACAAGTATGACACAAAGGTCAATGATTGTTAGGTTTTGAAGACAAAAGGCAAGGGTCTCTGACTTGTTTCCACCTCCCGTAATCCTGTTTATTTGCTACTATTAGATTACTGAGCAGAAGTACAAAAGGAATAAAAGATAAATATTCAAAATGTCTACCTTAGTTACTTTCTATTTCTGTGAGAAAACACCATGACCAAGGCAACTGATAAAAGAGTTTAATTGGGCAGTGGTGTCACACACCTTTAATCCCAGTACTTGGGGGTCAGAGGCAGGCGAATCTCTGTGAGTTCCAGGCCAGTTCCAGAACAGCCATGGCTGCACAAAGAGACCCTGTCTTGAAAAACTAAAATTTTAATTAATTAATTAATTAATTAATTAAGGAGTTTAATTTGGCTTATGGTTTCAGAGCACTGGAGTCCATGATGACAAAGAGAAGGAACACCTAGGAGCTCTTAATTCACAGCCATGAGGCATAGAGATAGTACTGGGAATCACCTGTATCTTTTGAAACCTCAAGGCTCACATGAGCATCACTGTCCATCCTCTGGAATAGTGGCCCAGAGAAAATAAAAGGGGGAAGTGAGAAAGCCAGCTGAACACCAGCAGTTCTTTTTCTGATTCCCATCAGCTATGATGCAAAAGGCTCTTCTCTGCTACATACTCCTCACCAAATTCACTGACATCTCTAAAACCAAGAGCCTAATCAATTCTTCAAGATATTTCTGTTGAGCATTCTGTCACAATGACATGAGAAGTAACATAGGGTACAAATTTAGTAGGTAAACTAATTTCTATTGTACTATCCATTTACATAATCAGGTGGAGAAAAAAATGAAAAGTCTTTTTGCACTTGGGGACAGAGATGGGTATTTCTATTCCTCCCTTCTCTCTTTCTTCAATTCCTTGGTTTCTGAGATACTACATTATATCCTTAAAGAGCTTTTCCTTGGGACTGTAGAGATAGCTCAGTGGTTAAAAGCACTTGCTGTTCTTGTGGAGGACTGGCGTTTGGTTCCCAGCACCTACACAGTGGCTCAAAACCATCCCTAATTTCAGTTCCAGGGGATTTGACATCTTCTTCTGGTTTCTGTAAGCAGCTGGCACACACATGTTGTACATACATTCATATGATGCATATACATACATGCCAGCAAAACACTCAAAATAAAATTTAAAATAAATCTTTGTCTTCCTTCTTTTGCTTTTTAAACATAATCTTCATTAGAGCTGAGGATTCTCAGTGACTTTTCTCTTCTATAAACTCTTGACTACTTTGAGAATCAGCTTTTGCTTCCTGGCCATACACACCTGAACTTTCTTCTCTATTCTTATCTAAAGTCTCACTTAGCATGCTCTCTTGATAGTCTATAAGCACCTCAAACTCAATGGTCTAAACCAGACTGCCCTTGTGCCCTACATTACAGTAGGCAGCACTATTTCATAAAATCAGGCTTAAGCCAGGCACAGTGGCACAAACTGGTAATTCTAACACTCAAAAGCCTGAAGCAAGAAGACTGTTAGAACTTTCAAGCAGTCTTGTCTACTTAGTGAGTACCAAGCCAATCAGGACTACATAGCAAAATGCTATGTTAACAAATTAATAAACAAATAAAATCAGGCTCAAAGCCCTAGTGGGTTTTTAAAAACTCTCTCTCTCTCTCAATTAGCTTATCAGATACAAAGGAATTCTAACAGAGCTGCTCCTAGTCATCCTTACTTCTCTCCCTGCCATTCACCTATATACAATCCCTTAATACCCTATGAACCACTCCCACAGCCTATTTATAGATGATAAATTCATTGTGCATAATGGCTGCTATCAGTGTTCAAGAAGAAAAAGCCTTCCTCAGCTTGACTTTCAAAACTTGACACTAGCTCTATAGCATGATTCCCACATGTTTATTTTTAGCTTCTTCATATTCAAACACTATCCACTACACACAAATTTGAAACACTTCTGTCACCACTCTAGAGGACCTGGGAGAATAGAGCCAAAAAATGAAGTGGACTAAAGTCTCATGCAATCGCCAACTTTATTTACATCATCAGACAATCTATATTCTGAGGGTTAAACAAGGTCATATTAGTTCAGGCTATAAACATTTTGAATAAGAATAGCAAGATAATGGGTAATCTGAAGTAAACACATTTTACTATATCTGTGAAAGCACATTCCAAGAACAAACTCATATTTAGAAGGAACTGAGGTCACAAGACTCTTGTCTTGTGTTCTTGGAGTTTTCTCACAAGCATTAAGAATTCTACTCACATGGCTCCATTCTTAGACTGTGTTCTGACACTCCCACTGTTGGCATTTTTCCTTACACCAGGGAGAAGTCTGTTTAAAAATGTACATCAGGGCCGGGCGGTGGTGGCGCACGCCTTTAATCCCAGCACTCGGGAGGCAGAGCCAGGCGGATCTCTGTGAGTTCGAGGCCAGCCTGGTCTCCAAAGCGAGTTCCAGGACAGGCGCAAAGCTACACAGAGAAACCCTGTCTCGAAAAACCAAAAAAAAAAAAAAAAAATGTACATCAGAATCCCAAGGTGGTTTCTGTACTGTTTAAAAATATACTCTTAACACCCTCTGGAAATTCTGATATATTCACCAAATTAAAACAAAAATCAAGGTTGTGGGCAGTTAACGATTGGACATTTCTGAAAACCTGGATTACAGCCTTTATCACTTCCTTCTATCAGTTTTAAGCCTCTGAGCCACATGAGTGGCTAGGCCCTCCCCCAAAGACCTCCAACTGCCAGATTCCACCCACAGGACATTCTAACTGCCCTAACTGCTGGAACCAGGCCTGCACCCTACAGAGTAGGGCCCATGGTCCTACATCAGCCAGGGTCTGAGTTGATGTCCATGGCTCCTGTTACCACTGAGGGCTGATTAAGATGCCTGGGGTCTGACCAGCCATCCAAGTTATTGGCATCCGAGGGCCATGATGTTGCCAAGGCCAAAATGATCTGGATATTGAAATCCAGGAGCTATGCAGGGCCAGCCCCATCTTTTGCTGGCCCTGGGATAGCTGGCCTGCTCCTCACTGGACACTGACGCAGGAGAGCTGCCCCTTCCTCTCTCTGCACTCAGGAGAGATGGCCCTATCCCTCATCATGGGCATGGGAGATCTGGCCCCAACGGCATGGGCCTAGAAGAGCTGGCTCCACACCTTGCCTGAGGGGAAGAGGCCCAGAGGCCCAGGCTGACCAGCTCAGCTACCAATCAGACCCACACCCTGGGCCTTGGGTTGGCCCACCCTAACATCTATCCCATCTATGACCTGCTAGAGCACATGAAGGAATTGGTCCTGCAGAATGATAGACCCAGGACTCCATCAGGATATCTGGGAGGAGTTCCGTGAGGGTCCAGAGATAACGAGTGTGCCAGAGGCCTTGAACCAGATCAATGACTCATTGCAAGGAAATTTGTGGGTGTGGCTGACTGGACAAAAGGTATAATGTGTGACACACCGCAGCTCCCAATGTCACTAGGTCAAATGAAGAGGTGTTGGAGAGAAGGGAAAAAATGGAAGAGCAAGGTGGGTTTTTTTTTTTTTGTGTTTTTTTTTAAATTAATTTTGGGAGGAATTCCTTTTTGGGGAGGGATGCTGCAGTGGTAATGAACAGATATGGAGGGATGGGGAGGTAAACAGGATTGGGGTGCATGATGTGAAATTCCCAAAGAATATATAAAGAATTATGCTATTTAAAAAAAAAAAAAGAAGCCGGGCGGTGGTGGCGCACGCCTTTAATCCCAGCACTCGGGAGGCAGAGCCAGGCGGATCTCTGTGAGTTCGAGGCCAGCCTGGTCTCCAAAGCGAGTTCCAGGAAAGGTGCAAAGCTACACAGAGAAACCCTGTCTCGAAAAACCAAAAAAAAAAAAAAAAAAAAAAGAAAGAAAAAAGATAAGAGAGAGAGAAAGAGAGAGAGATCAATTTATATTCTAGTATGTAAGGCCAGGACTACCCTGAAAATAACTGCTACCCACTAGTCACATGATGACAAATCTCTACCTCCCTATGAATGCTTCTCCAGATTTATTAATTGAGGAACAGAATCAGATCATTTCTGGCTGTTCTGAGTTCTAAACCATTATGAAATGACTCAGTTCACACTGAGGGGAGATAGTGGCCATGAGATGAGGCATAGAAAGGGAATCTAAAGAGATGCTCAACTGTCCCCCACTCTTCTTAATTCTCTGAAAAGCTTCATTGAGAACTTTAGATTTTACAAGGCCACCCATCCAATCTAAGGGAGCACCACGATGGCAAAGCCAGAGCCTAAACCTTTAACATTAACAAGACCACTATAACAGGCTTAAAATTCTCAAAGATTTCAGCAGCAGCTTGAAAATGTACTGAAAACAAGTGAGCCAGAGAACAAGAAGCAACAATGGACCCATACCTTGTGATGACGTGCAAAAACTGTGGTGTGAGCACTGCTTGCTGAGACTTCTCAGGATACCAATAGGCTGACATTAACTCAACAGATTTCACAACCATGTACAGATAGCCCACGTGAGGTAATGAGAAGAAACAGAAAAGACTCAGCAGCTCTTTTTCTTGAGACAAACCTTTTCCATCAGGAGGAAAACCTGCATTGGAAAAATGCAAGAGAGACATGCCATGAAGCCAGAAAATAAAAGGAGAGAATTAATATCATGATTTTCCTATGCAGACTAGACAGACTAAACTATATCAGACTAGACTGTATCAGAGACCACAGAGATGATAAGGGGAAGTGGATAGTAAGAAATGTAAAAGGGAGGAGATAATTAGGAAAACACCATCTTGCAACAACGTAAGTCACAACACTCATTGATGGCTATTAATATTGCATTGTCCACCAGGAACCACAGCCTTTCTAAGAGACAACAGAACTACTTGCACAACAAGAAAATAAAACACGTAATTATTCCATATTTGGAACTTAAATTTTCTAGTATTTCCAAAAAGTAGAACAGGAAACAGTTTTTAGTAATATTGTCCAGTAATCTATCATGTCTAAAACATTGCCATTTCAACAAGCAATAAACAAAAAACAAGTGTTTTATATTTTAGTATTAAACATTCAAAATCTAGTCTGTGGTTTATATTTACAGTATATATCAGTTTCTATTAGCTATATTTCAAATGTTTGAGGGCAACTTATAGCTAATAATGTACTAAAAAGCACAGACTGAGATATAATGACTAACTCACACAAGAATACAGTGGGTACAACAGAAACCTGATGAATTACTCAGTCAATTGTGAGGACTCAATCAGCAAAACTCAGATTATAGGAAGCTTTACATTAAATGTCCAATTTCTTGCTACAGAAATTGCAAAAAGAAAAAGAGAAGGCTGATCCCATATAAGACACAGAAATCAACCAAGATGCATAAATCTAACTTGTTTATGTACCTCATTCAAACAAATGAATTGTAAGGGAAAAAAAATCTTTAGAGCATCAAGAAAATGGGAACCCTAAAAAGATATTTGATGACATCTTGGAATTTTTACATGAGAAGTATTTTGAATTCATTTAAAATAAAACATCCTGATTCTGTTTAGAGAAATATTGATGGAGAAAAGGTATAGATCTTAAAACAGTCATCAAAATAACTAGGAATGGATCAGGATATTGTCATGTGTAAGCTGTTGATGGGGATATAGGGGGTTGTTTTACTATTTTCTCACTATCTAAATAAGTTTCAAATTTTCATAACCAGAGGGTTTTTTTAAAGTTTTCTTCCTCCTTCTATGATACTCATTGATATTGAAAGTCCAATTCTGCACTTTCCACAACTAGCCCAAAACCATTTCCATTTCTTCTTTCTGGTACACATCTGAGCTCTAGCTAAACAGAACTGATCTCTAAGCACATGACAATGTTACAGCTTACATATCTTGGTTCCTCTTATAAAATACCTAACCAAATTCTTCAGCTTCTAAAACAACCACTCAACCTTTGACACAGCTCAAATATAGACCACACATCTACAGTCATTTGTCTATTCAATAAATATTCCCTATGGCCTGCTGCAGTATTGCTGTTCAAGGTTCTAGGGAGATAGCAATACACAAAACAAGGTGACTTCTTTCACAGAGTCTTTGCATTCTGGTGATGGGAATTGGGACAGGGAACAAACAAGTAAATTCTAAAGTGAAGAGAGATTATTGAATGGAAAGAGCCAGGGGCCTGTGTGACAGCTCAGTAGTTAACTGATGCTCTAGCAGAGGGCCTGAGTTCAGCTCCCAGCAACCAAGTTGGATGGCTCATAACCACCTGTAACGTCTTTGTTGGCCTCTGCCAGAACCACATTCACATGCACACATACTCACATAATTAAAAATAAAAGTATGTCAAACTGAGAGAACCAGGTAAGATCTCTGTGATAAGGTGAAATTTGAGCTGTGCAATAAATGATATGAATAAACCACTCACAAGGGATCTGAAGAAAGCACATTCTAGGTCTACGTAGAAAAAGTAATAGCTTTTACAGAAAAGACTACTTGGCATATCTGAGGGAGGCAGAAAGGCTACTGTGGATGGAAAACAGTATGCTGTGGGATGTTCTGTATGGCAAATGTGTTGCTGATTAGTCAATAAATAAAACACTGATTGGCCATTGGCTAGGCAGGAAGTGTAGGTGGGACAAGGAGGAGAATAAAGCTGGGAAGTGGAAGGCTGAGTGAGAGAGACACTGCCAGCCTCCATGATGAGAAACAGCATGTGAAGATACCAGTAAGCCACGAGCCATGTGGCAAGGTATAGATTAATGGAAATGGATTAATTTAAGCTGTAAGAACAGTTAGCAAGAAGCCTGCCATGGCCATACAGTTTGTAACCAATATAAGTCTCTGTGTTTACTTGGTTGGGTCTGAGGGGCTGTGGGACTGGCAGGTGATAGAGATTTGTCCTGACTGTGGGCCAGGCAGGAAAACTCAAGCTACAACAGTAAGCAAGTCAAGCTGAGACAAAATGAACCCAGAGTTAGGTCACATTGGCTATGGAACGATTGAGACTTTTTATTCCTACTGTTATGGGAAGTTCACTGAATGAAAAGAGCTGCCCCTCTGATTGGCTAACTGGCCCTGTCTGGTCTCCAGTCTTGTATCACATCCCCCTTTCCTTTACTCCACTTGGTTCTTTCGGTTCCTCAAATACAGATTCTCTGCTCAGCTTTGGGGCTTCTTCTACTTAGAAAACTCTCTTTGTTATGCCCAGATTAGGACCCCAAAGACAAACCACCACAGACCTTAGGTTCAGAATGCAATTAGCATGGTTTATTTCTGTTTGTTTACAAGCTGCGGACAGGAAAGCTGGATCCAAAGCACTCACTTGTAGTCGTGAGGCCAGGAGGAACTTGCTTTTTCTTTGTGTGGCTGGCTTTTTAAAGGCAAAATCCACAAGCCCTTCAGGGGGGTTGGGGGAATTTTGCACAGGTGCAACTCGGATTGGTTTATTTTTATCTCTGTTCTCTTTTAATTGGGTGAGGGTATGTAACCTTTGAATTTACTGGTTGGTGGTTACAATTTATTACTTTGGGGGCAGTCCAGCACAAGTCCCAGGCTTTGTCCTTGAGCCACCATGGGGGCTGGCTGGCCAAGCACATACTGCACATAACTCTAAGTTGGTGAGGGGCCCCAGAAAGTAAACATCTGGCTGAACTTTGAGCAGTCTTTTGTTCATGGCCCTCCCAGAAACTGCTTACTCAAGTCTCAGGAAACTGAAATTGAGGCCTGATCTCTGAGAGAAGACTGAGCAGCCTGTTATGGCATCTGCTTGGTCCTTTCATCTTCTCCTCCCTTTGCTGAACCCATCTAAATCCCAGAGTCATCCATTCTCAGGAAGCAGCCTTCCTAGACCCCAGAGAAAGTAGGGGTCTTTTGCTACAGGCTTTTGCTACCAGGGTTTTTTTTCCTATAGAGCACTATTTCAGTGTCTAATTTTGCCAGTGACCTGCTTCAGAGGGGTGGGAGGTTCAGGTCCCAAAGAGGATGAGTAGAGTTAGCAGAGAAAGGGAGGAGGGAGACATGATCTGAGGGTAAATCGGGATGGCTGCCAGAAGCGTTTATTAGAAAAGGAATATATATACTTTTTGTACTTAATAGTTTAGTCACAGGCAAGATGGAAAGCAGACTCAATGATTCAGTGACAGAAAATTCAGTGAGTATCTAAATGTCTATTGTTCTCACATGTTCAGTAACTCTACCAGGAACCTTCTTACATCAAGGAAAGGCTACAAGTTCCTCCTGAGATAAGGAGAATGACTGCTATTAGCAAGCAGGAACTTGCCTCAAGGCCTAGAGGGAATGGAGACCCTTATCCAAATGCCTGACCTTGGGAAAAGGACTTCCTCTGGGGACCAGACACTCCAGTACAATTTAAGAGCAATTCTCATTCCTCAAGGGGATAACCACTGAGGTATTCCCTAATTGTGTCCCTTTGTGTCTTAGTCTTACTATATGGGCCTGTTACCCCCATAGCTCCAAAAAAGGAAGGTCCTGATATCTTACTCTTTTCCCATTATACCTTATAAACTGAACTCTTGCCCTTAATGACCTCAGGCTCTGAATTTGGATTGTAGATGTTTCATGCTTGGGACCAGGTGTATCTAGTAAATGTTCTTGGTGTAATTAGGAGGGCATAATGGGATTCCTGGTTCCTCGATAACAGGGATTTTTCCCAAAGAATTATTTTGTTTAAAGGGCCTGCCATTTTATGCATTTTCATCCTTCAAAGTCCATGCAAAATTTCCCAAAGGAAAAGAGAACTCTCATAACACATAGTGAGAATCATTAAAAATGAAAGTAAAAAGGTGCAAACTGTGGTCTGCAATGTTGAAATGCTGGAAGTTTGTCAAGCAGCAATGGTTGTCATGCTGTCCACACCACAATTTTGTCAGTATTTAATGAGTATCTGCTTTTACCGTCAGATAATTAAGTTCATAGGTACAAGCATGTTGCCTACTTTTGTTCTTTCTGTACTCAGCACAATGATCAACAACAGTAGCTACTGAATGTCTACTTTAAAAAAAATAACATTATAAAGACATTGGATTACAGCAACATTTATATCTTCCCAGAAACCATCTGAAGATGCTGAACAGGCCATGAGTGAATGCAGAGCCTACCGGTCTCAATCTTGGTGCTCATTAGATTTCTGGTGCCAGATGAGAGTGCCAGAGTCCAAAACAGTCCAATAAGTCAGAATCAGAATCACTCGCATTTTTTTAATAGAGGGTCTCATGTAGCCCATACTGGCCTAGAACTCATTAGTTAGGCGATGACCTTGAACTTCTGACCCTACCTGCCTCTACCTCCCAAGTGATGAGATTACATGTGTACATCACCACATCCTGTTTATTCAGTGCTAGGAATCAAACCCAGACTTTATTCATGTTAGAAAAGTACCTGATCAACTGAGCTAAATCTCCCTTAACAGTATTTTTAAGTATCCAGGTAAATGTAATGTGCAGCACTGTTGAAAAGCAGTACTCAAATGAATTTCCACTCAGACCAAGTTTTCCCACCTCACTTACAAGTCCATCCTAAAAAACTTTGTCACTTACTCAGCTCCAACAGTGCTCACAAATTTCTTTTACTGGGCCTACAGACTACTTCAAAAACAATAACAACAAAAGAATTGAGTTTTTTCTGGTCACATTCACCTAGTGGCTTCACTTCTCCTAGCCAATATGACTTTTCTTTCCTCAGAAGACTGAGTAGGAGAACCAAATCTAATGTCTGTCTACATATGGGTCTTCCCTCCAGTCCAGGGCCTTGTCACCTCTCTGCAAGGCAGCTCAGCCGTACTTACCTGTTTGGTGAATAGGTAGCAGCTGAAGGGAATGTAACTTGATGTTATCAGACAAGACATAGAATGAAATATCAGGAGCAAAACGTCTGTAGGTTTAAGAAGAGAAAGAGGACAGATCTAATTTCCATACACTTTAAGCAGGCACATAAATATTAAATCCTGGTGAATAAAAAGTGCTCTCATACCTATATAGCAGGTGCTGAACACTTGAATATTTTACTTTTTCATCGGCTAATCCTGTGGACTCCAGTTTAACAGATATTCCCGACTGTTCACACTTCTCACCAAGAAGCTCCATGGGTTTTAGGCAGATAACAAAATCCTCTGATTCAAGCCGTGAAGTGTCATTACTGACATCTTAAAACATAACATTTTAGAGTTTAGCAACTATAAGTACTACCATCCGCCTGAATGAACATTAGGCATGGCTTGTGACTTATGTTTCTGCTGTGATAAAATATCATAACCAAAAGCAACTTGGTCAGAAAAGGGTTTTATTTCAGTTTACAACTCTCAGATCTCACTCCATCACTGCAGGAGTCAGGGCAGGAACTCTGGGTAGCAGCTGATTCAGAGACCATGGAGGAATGCTGTTTACTGGCTTGTTCCCCATGGCTTGCTCAGCCTGCTTTCTTATACACCCCAGGACCGCCTGCTCAGGAGTGGCACCACCCACAATGGGCTGGGCCCTCTCACATCAATAATTAAGAAAATGCCCCCCCCCCCAGGACTGCCTACAGGTCAGCCTTATGGAGACATTATTTCCATTAAAGTTCACTCTTTAAAAACTCTAGCCTGCAGCAAGTTGGGGAACAAAAAAAGGCAATCAGGACAATGTTATCCAATGTCATTAAACATCAAATTTAATGACAATAAAAATTAGAAAGTCATGTAGGCCAGGCATAGGGACTCACAACTATAATGCCTACACTCAGGAGCCTGTGACAGGAAGACCACAAGTTTGAGGCAAGCCTCAGCCAAGTGAATTCCAGGTCAGCCAGGGACATATTGAAACCCTATCTCAACAAAAGAACACCAACTGTTTTCTCTTTAGAAACCCCTCATCTAATAGCAGTTGCTCCATTACTCACATACTGACAAATATATGTAGAAACAGAATAGGCTATGGACAGTTATAAACCCAAACCAATGTGATAGGAACACCTAAACCTCATAGGTACTAGGGTTCTTTAGAAAGTCAAATTCATCATTTACCTTCCATCTGTTTCAACTGGTTGTTGGTTTTTTGTGAGTGGTGTTTAACTCCCTCTCCCTTTGAAGGATCTGACTCCAGTTTTAGGATTAAGACTTCTAAATCAGACATGACAGCAACATACCCAACACAAAAAGAAATTTCAACCGGAGTGATATTATCTATGTGTATAATTAATGAACGTTCAAAGTCCAACACTGAGAATTCTTCATTAATGATCCAGTACTTCAAAGTAAATAGGACTAACTGATTTGTGCAGCCAACAAGTAGATCACCCTTCACAGGACAACATGAAATGCATAAAGGAGCCTCAGACAATGGCATTTCAATTATAGACATTTGGTCTTTAAAGCTTTCACAGAAGGGTGCCTCCACATTGTGCCCAACCATTCGAATGCACACACGGGAATTTTCAGTCCTCTTACTCCTCCAGTTCATGTAAGCACGCAAGAATATAGTTTTGTTTTTCTCTTCAATTGCTACCAGATAGTCTCCTAGAAAAGGAAGCAAGATTGCATTTAGAATTTGGAATTAGAAATTCAACCACTTATTTTGCTGCCTGAAAATGGAACGTATAACATGACTCAAATGCATAACTGATTCAAAGGAACAAAGCTGCCATCTAAGTGACAGAGGTGTGTGTTAAATCACATCAGTCACTGAAATACAGTCTCTTCCCATCTCAGTGTCTTACAACAACTCCTTTACTATTCATATAACAAAAAAAAAACTTTCCATTTTCCTCTGTTAACTCTTATCACAGTTGAAAGGTCTACTAACTAAGCGCAGCAACATTAGCGTAACTTACAAAATTCAGGTAAAAACTAAGGAAGTCTGAGTTTAACAGAATTTACATTAGACATTTCCTTCTCTTGCTACATAAGTCACAACTCTGAAAAGTAGGATAAAACTAGAGATACCAAATAAAATATAAATTCAAGTTAATATTCTTTTAACTAGTGATTATATTGGATTGTTTTAACTATAAAAGTAACATTTGTTGTAGAAACCAAAATGGTAAAGCACAAAAGGAAAGCACAATGACATCCTCCTTCAGTCTCATCCTTAAGGACTAATATTCACACAGTCTGGTGTTGACCTTCCAAACACGTTCTCTCATATAAACCTGGGTCACAGAAAGGCTTTTTGTCTTTTTATATCACACTAACTCTATTTAACAATCTGTAACTTTTAAATTCATGTCTAACTTAATAATCACATTTTGTTGTAATAATACCTATTTTATGAAATAACAACCTCAAGTATACAGGTTAGCAATTTTCTTGGGGGAAAAAAATCCAAGTAACTACACAGCATAAACATGCAATAGAACCACTTACAATTATTTGAACAATGAATAAATCTTTTCCTCCAAGTTGATACATGGCTATCCACCATTCACCATCCCAACAGAGCATACAGATATGTTAATATCTATAAAATATCCTATATACACATGTGCCATAGCTATTTAATAATTCTCCTATTAATGTAGGGGGATTACCTACTATACTTTATTCTGTAACAAATAAACCTATACCTATATAATTTGTTTTATGTTGGAAATTTATGTTGGGCTACAGATCAAGAGTATTTTAAACTTTATTAGAAACTGGAAAGTTACCACCATAATTAGATAACAGAAATTCAGACTGCCAGCAAAACTATTTATACATGCCTGTTTCCTACCATCTCAGGGGTCATGCATGCTATATATCCCTGTCTCACCTTGAACTCATGACATAGCCCAGGATGTCCTCAAACTTGCCAAGATCTTCCTGCCTTGGCCTCTTGAGTGCTTATAATTATTCCATCACGTCCAGCTACTTTATGATAATCTTAAAATAAGAACTATACTATGGGTTTTGAGTATATCACTGTGAGTTTAATTTGCATTTCCCTGAGGATTAGTGATGTGGAGCCTCTTTTTGTGTGCTTTTGGACATTTGCATGTCTTCTTCAGAGAAATATCTATTCAAGTCCTTTGCTATGTATGTACTGCCAAGGATCAAACCCAGCACCTCACGTGTGCTAGGTAAGTGCACTGGCACTTGGTTGTACATCCCAGTTCCAGTTCCACTTGTTCATTTAAAAAAAATTAATTAATGTGGTTTTCTATCACCAAATCAATTTATTATATATTTTAGACACCATTCCCTTATCAAATATATGATTTATAAATATTTTTTCAAATCCTTTGAATAGCTCCTTCCATCTATTGGTAGAATATATGCACAAAAATCTTTAATTTTGGTGATGTCCGATTCATCTACTATTCTTTTGTTGCCATATTCTTTTGGTACCATATTTAAGAGTTGACATTTTAAAATAATATCTCTTTAGTTACAATAAAAGCTTTCAATTCACACACACACACACATATATATATATATATATAATGTCCACACATGAAATGATGTGTCTGCAAGTTATAGGTAATATCCACATTGTATTGCATGATTTCAGATTGATGACCTGTTCTGCAAATGCTGTAATAGCACTTGCTAAGCATGCCTACTTAGCAAGCCTCATGAGCCCACTTTTAAAGTTCTCTGTAAATCCTTATAAGAGCCCTTCAGGAAAATATCTTCCTTCCAATTTTATAGTTCAGCACTCTGAGGCTCAGAGTGTTATTAACAGCAACTTGCCTAAGGCAACAGTCAACAAATGATGGTTCTAACTAATCCAAAGGCTTATGCTCATTCTGCAAACTGTTGGAAAGGAAATAAATTCTATAGGGTTCCGTATAACCTTTTAAGAGAGCACCTAACTTTAAAAAGAAAGTATGTGCCTGATGCATCATTAAATATAGGCGTGGAGATGGGGGCAGATGGGATGGGTGGACAATGGTCAATGGTTCAGTATATTTGTGCTAAAGTGCTAAAGAATGACTTGTGCTGGTTTAGTACATACAAGGAGAGCTGTGTGGTCTTCACTTTCCTGCCCTGCCACCCTCATAAACACATGTCCAGCAACAGGGCCTTCAACACTGCACTGGCCATTGGGTCTCTCTCTGTCTGTTGGTTATCCCTCCTTTTCACATCACATACGCAGCCTAAATTCAATTTCCATTATCCCTGATGACGTTAAAAGCTCAAAACTTACATTCTATATTGTTACCTACTTTCTCCCTAATGTTCTTATAATAGTTCAGCATTTCAACTTGATTAAACTAAGAAAGACCTTAGAGCACACCTCTGATTGTTTCTTGTGAGAACATTTCCAAAAATGACTATATCATGAGCTCTGACCTAATCAATGCAGCAGTCCACTGGTAAATTTAAATTCTGGAAACTTTAGTGTGCTGGGGGTAGAACTATAGAAGGGAGTCTGGCTAGAAGAAGGAGACATCTGGGAGGAAGATCACTGTTGGAGAGGGGACATCTGAGAACTCTATCTTGCCCTAGTCCCTTCCTGTTACTGCTTACTTTATTTTCTGGTCACCATGACATAAGCCCTCTGCTGTGGGATGTTCTGTATGGCAAATGTGTTGCTGATTAGTCAATAAATAAAACACTGATTGGCCATTGGCTAGGCAGGAAGTGTAGGTGGGACAAGGAGGAGAATAAAGCTGGGAAGTGGAAGGCTGAGTCAGAGAGACACTGCCAGCCGCCATGATGACAAGCTGCATGTGAAGATGCCGGTAAGCCACGAGCCATGTGGCAAGGTATAGATTAATAGAAATTGATTAATTTAAGCTGTAAGAACAGTTAGCAAGAAGCCTGCCATGGCCATACAGTTTGTAACCAATATAAGTCTCTGTGTTTACTTGGTTGGGTCTGACGGCTATGGGACTGGCAGGTGATAGAGATTTGTCCTGGCTGTGGGCCAGGCAGGAAAACTCTAGCTACAGCCCTCCATAACATGGTAAACTGAGTCCTCTCAAACTATAAACAACATAAATCTATATTCTTTCAAGTTGTTTACGTCAGAAATTTGGACACAGGGAGCCCAAGGCTGACTTACATCCTGTCCACATTTTACAAAAGGAGAACAGCATTTGACTGATTAGTAAGTGTATGTGAGGGTTTTAACACCTTATGTACACTGGCAGGGCAGGCAGGCACTGAAGGAAAACTGCCAATATGACATGACCACTCAGTAATAGTATGGTTAAGGGGAAGGTTTTATTGAGTAAGAGAGAAAGAACAGCCAGAAGATCTGGCAGAGTCCAGAGCAGAAAGAGAAAGAAGCACACTCAACATGCACAGCTGACTGGACATGGCCAGGGCTATCTGCAAGAGAGAGAACAGCAGTGGGTAGAAAACAGAGGGAGCATAGTGAGACCAGCAAGAGCAGAGAACAGCCAGGTTATAAGTGGAATAAGTAGCTGCGGCAAGGGAAGCCCACAAGCTGAAAGGAGTTTAGGATAGAGAAGAAGGTAAGGACCTAAAATACTAGTATGAACTTTGAAATATGTAACAGGTAAGGAGGCTAGTCTGGACCTTGGTATGCTGATAGGTACCACAGGTTAACTGGAGAACCATAGATCCCTTTTGCTGGAGGTAAGGAAAATGACTCACTTGGAACCAGCTTCACAAGTTCCTGAGGAATGCTGGCTTTTATCTAACTGCCAGAAACCTCCCCTTCCTCCCCCAAAGTACTGGATGAGCTAATTTCTGGATATATGGACTGCCTTTTGGAGTTTGAGAATTGGTGTTTCCATTGGATCTGACAGTAAGTAAAAGAAAATGCTTTCTGCTTGGTAGAAGACCTAGAAAACATTTACAGTAAATATAAATACACAAATTATCCTGGTTTTTTTACAAGGGGAGATTTGCTACAGCGGAGGATACTGGGCACTGAGAATACAATCCCCAGGTCCACATACTGAGAATATGAAAAAGAGGCCAAAGGAAAAGTCAAAGACAGGTTTTCTGGACATAGGCAAAGCCAGGAGTCAGTGTATTAATGTTTGGTCACACATGAATTAAAAGAAGTTACACTCAGAGGTTAAAGTTCAACTGTGGACTGAAAGCTACCTTTGAGCTATATGGTTCATGATGCTAATGCCATACCACATGACTTCTCAAGTTTTTTAAGGCAACCAGTTTGATTATAAAAGCATGTTTGTTCTTCAAGGTTTCATTAACGAGGTTAATCACAGTTTAGTGTTAGCCTCCTGCAATCCTTGTGGCTCAAATCATTAGTATCCAACCCAGACAAGTATTTAATACACTGCAATGTCAGCCTCACTCCAAGGAAACTTAACAGTGTTTCCAAATGTGTGGCCCAGGAATGGGGGCTTTTTTTTTTTTAATGCTTTCTAAATGATTCTTAGACACAAGTAGTAGCCATGCAAGGATCCCAGGAATCAACACCAATGACAGCAAGAAAACCGCCTTCTATAATGCCTGCTGCCTCAAATTTTGGCATAAATGTCCCTTAGGAACATTTTATACAGCCTATGTCTTTGTCTTACACACACGCACAGACACAATGTATTTAAGAATTTTTAAAAATCAGACCAGAATGTAAGAATTTTAAACCACACAGAGGTAATAGTGACTTATAGGGCTGCCTATGATTTGGAATAATTTTTGAGATCCGTGAACTTCAGGCTATGATTCTCTCTCCCTCTTTCTTTTGGGCGAGGTTTGAGATTTCTTCTTACATTTTTGTTTGTTTGTTTGTTTGTTTTATGGGTCTGGCATAAGTGGAACCCAGCCACAAGCCTTTAATTCAAGACGTGGAGGGGTAAGTCAGCGTTCCCTTCCCACTGCAGGCCCATGCCTGTGTGGGGTGTTTGTTTTGCTTTGCTTCGAGACAAGATTACCTGTAGCCTAGGCTACTCCGGAACTCACTAAATAACAGATGTTGATCTTAAATTTCTGATCCTCCAGCCTCCACCTCCCAGGTGCTGAGATTACTAGTTGAACAAGGTCGATGCGGAAGGTCAGACCGAAAGCTTCAGGCAAACTAGGCAAGCACTCCAACAAGGCGCTCCACAAGATCTGTGGTTGCTATGACAACTGCACAAAGCGCCTTCAGCAGCATGTAAGTAGAAGCACCCGCCCCTTCCCCACTCAGAAACCCGCCCCAAAGTCTCTCCTCACCGGCTTCACTGTAGGCCATGCGCAGCACTCTGCCCAGCGTGGAGAAGACACAGCGTGGCTGGCACAGATCTGCTCCCTGGACGGCGAAAGCCTCCACCTTGCAGCCCGAAGCCACGAACAACGCGTCCCGCCCGCCGCAGCAGAACTGCTCTGGCTCCCACTGGCAGGGGACCACCTGCTGCGACCCGAACGGGTGCAGGTTGTACAGCTGCACCATCCCGACAACTGGACTGAAGAGCGACTTCCGCAAACTAGCAAGCTGCTCCGGATCACGTGAGCGCTGTGCCCCCGCCTTGAGCTGGGCTTCTTAAAGAGGTCTTGCCGGTGGAGTGACTGGCTCCTCACTGGGTGGGTGCGGGGACCTCGGATCTTTTCCTTGGGACTTCACTTTACTGCTTCTGGACAGAAGGGTAATTCTTGACCCTTGAATGTGTTTGACTCGATCATGTGCTGGCTTGTGCCTGGATTGACTTCAGGGCGTCTCTCTTGTCTTCCCGTAGCCTTTGAGCTTCTGAAGGATGGAGCTGCAAACCTGAAGTGGATATATACCGCTCAACTTGGATTAAACATGCCAGAGTTGTTTTGAAATAGAAATACTGTGGATTGTACAATGGATTTTTTTTTTTGAAAAGGCAAATCCTTTAAGATGTTTAGCAAAAAGCTAATGTATTGCATGAAAGAATCTGTGAACATTTTGTAGGCATTTGGCAAAGATTCGTCTAAGCCCCAGATAATAGAAAGGAAGGAGGGAAATCCCCCTGATGATCAGTGCAGTGTTCCTAAATACACCCTTTTTAAGAGAAACTTGCCGTCTGAATTCTACTTTTGGAAATTTAATACAACAGATATAATATTTTTAACAATTCTAGGAAATGTGTATGTATGCATGCATGCATGCACGTATGTATTGACTGAGGAATGCTCTCTTGACACCGGGACAAAACTGAAAAGAGCAAACTTCAATTCCCATGTCATCACATCATAAGTCCTTTGTTCCAAGAATTTATAAAATGGGAGCAGTTGAACTGAAGTTAAACCTGCTTCCATTTCCCATGCCTTCCAGATGAAGATGAATTATGTGATAGCCTTCCTCACCCACTGCTAGGAACACTTTGGGAGATAACAGGTTTATCAAATTCAATAAGCAGAGAAAAGCATAGAAATCTGGACTGCAAAAGTGGTAGAGGGAATCAAGCAGACTGCAACTCATGTTCTAGATTTGACATCCATGAATACTTCTTTTCCCTTTCACAAGTATCTGTCCTTTTAATTAATTTTCCTCTTCAAGACTGGTCTGGGTATTATTTTAATGCAATTTGACTTACATGAGATTCATTCTATCGTAGAATTGCACCATCTTCTCTAGAGAGCCTCTTCTCCTTGGTATAGTCCCTGAAACTGGCTCACCCAAGGGCCTTTAGGAGGAGATATTTTATCTTTAATAACCACTTTGTTCACTGCTGTCAACATCAGCTTAAGAGAGAAAATACTTGTTTTAGGTCAGTGTTTGGGAGATAGGGGCCAACATGGAGTAAACTGGTTCCATCCGGGCTGATCAGAAAGCAGAGAAAGGAGAATGGCTTTCTCCTTATTTTTTTTTCCCTCAGTCAAGGACCTCACAACACTGAATGGCACTACCCACATTCAAGTTGTGTCTTCCTTCTCCCACTAAACCCTCCTGGAAATACCCCCACAGACACATTCAGAAGTAGGTCACTAGGTGATTCTAAGTCCAGTAAAATTGATAAAAGTAATTACTGCATGAAGATAAGGTGGAGTGTGTGTGTCTAGATTCCATGTTTGTGAGGATCTGTGAATAGAAGCCACTCACTTGTCTCCTGTTACAAAAGCGGGGACCAGGGTGGCTTGCCATCATTTCCTAGTGGGAGAGGCCATTTGTTCTTCAGTGCTACCATGACAAATACAGCACACTGGTTGGTTTCAGCAACAGACTTCTTAAATTTTTTCTCAGTTCTGGAGTTTAGAAGTCTGAGATCAAGGTGTCAGAGACCTGGTGTCTTCTGAGGCCTCTTTACTTGACTTGCGGATGGCCATCTTCTCACTGTCTTCACAGTCTTGCCTCTATAAACTTCATTCTTGGTGTCTCTTCCTCCTCTTATAAAGATGCCATCTCTGCTAAGGCCTTCACATAAGACCTCTATTCAACTCAATAACCCCATAAAGTGTTGTCTGCAACATTCTAAGGTACTAGGGTTTAGGACTTCAATGAGAATTTTCAATAGAATTTAGCCTATAACAGAGATTTCTAAGAGTGACATTCTGGTTGAAGAGACCTCACTTTGGGACTTCTTAACACTGCATTTGCTGGAGAAGCTTAGGTGAATTCTACAGTTATAAATAGTATCCCAGGCTGACACTGGTGTTAGCCCTTCTGGAGATTACTACAACGCTGGAGCTCCAAAATCAGGGACATATTTCCTCAGCCACCTATGGAGGGCAGGCTCTGTAGACAAGCTGTTCAGGGAAGGCAGGTTCTGTTGAGAGAGCAGGCTCTGTTGTAGGAGCAGGCTCTATGGGGAGAGCAGGGTCTGTAGGGGAGCAGGCTTTGTAGGACAGGCAGGCTCTGTGGGAAGAGCAGGCTCTGGATCTTGGATCTCCTGTTTCCATTCCTCTCTGTGAGCTAAACTCCAGGATAGCTAAGCTACATAATGTATTGAGAAAGTATAACACAAAATGACATTTATTTATAATTTTTTAAATTACTACCTATCCTCAAAGAAGTTTCTGGAAAAGTAGCAAAGGCAGGTGTGGTGGTACATACCATCTATATAATCCCAGCATTCAGGAAGCTGAGTCGAGTGGATCACCAACCCAAGGCTAACCTGGGCTACTGAGCAAGACCATAAAAACAAAAACGAAACACTAAGTTGATGGCATAAGCATCTTCCTAAAGAATTTCTCAAAGTGATAAACAGTTTCCACAACTCTGATCAATACCAACAGGGATATGAGAAGGGCCCAAGGTGCCTGGGAAAAATTCAAGTCCCCACACTGAGGTTTTCAGTCTCCTGTATTCATGGATATGGAAATTGATGGTGTGTAACTACTGCTTCAAAAGGCTCCTCTCTTTTCCTTTCTATACTCTCTTCTCCCACTTTCTTGGTTTTTCTCTGCTAATTGGCACAGGAAGGGCACTCTCCTAGTTTTATTGTCCTGATGGATTTAGAGGCTATCTGGTCCCAAAATAAAAACAAACAGAAACTTTGGACAAATGGCTAACTGTGGTACTTATTAGTATACCAAAGCACATGCTGGCCTCCAGGCTCCCTCAGCATTGTGAATACCTGTTACAGAGTTCTTGCTGGCATCCTAGCTCTTTTCACCCCACATCACACACTAAACTTCTCCAGCTCATGGTCTTCCCTTCCTCCAGCTTCTGATTCCAATATAACCCTGACATTTCTGCTAAGCACTTTTGTGCTCTGTCTCTCTCCGTGTCTCTCTCTCTCTCTCTCTCTCTCTCTCTCTCTCTCTCTCTCTCTCTCTCTCTCTCTCTCTCTCTCTCTCGTTTTCCTCCTCTCCACCCCCTTGGCCAAGTCTATTCTGCTGGTTGTGTTCAGTGTATGACTTTCTCTCCCTTCTCTTGACTTTTATCTACAATATAAACTTTTCTTTTAAACATACATTGGAGCAATTGTGTCTTCACTTTATGCATCTGGCACTGAAATCTGGGATAGTGCATAATGGACCTCTTTCTAAGGGACCCAGCGTCTGATCTGACTCTTCTATGGTGTGTATGGAGCATTTGTTTCTACTGGCTTCTGCCACCCTTTATATTTGAGTACAAATTCTAGCGTACATGCCATCAGCCACTTCTCCTCTCCACCTACTATGTTTCACCACTGATTCTGAACATCTGAGTCTCTCTGGCTTCTGGAGTCTGCTAAACCCTCCTGGGTGCCTGTTACAGGAAAGGGCTGTCTCTCCCTACACTTGTTTTCTCCTCTTCTACTGGGTAAGTGTCACCCCAGAGCTTTCTGCTGTGTCTATTACTATAAAAGCCACACCAGTATGCTAGGATGCTCCTCTCATTGTACTGGCCTCCATCATATGGAAAGGGACACCTCTCCTCTGTGATTGTGGGACATTGCTCTCTGATGGGTCTCTCAGTCTGCTTGGGGATGCCCTGGATTGAAAAATCTTTTCACCAGGACCTTATCCTTCTCTCTCCTACCCTTTCCATCCTTTTCTCCTCCCCACATGTTTTCAACTTCCTAAAGCTTCCTTGCCTCCCCATTGGAGCTACTCACTCTGTCTCTTCTTTACACTCTCTGCTTATCATTGTATCTTCTTTTTAGACTGAGGTCTTCAAAATATTTTGGATTAGGATGGGGTTTTATATGATGATAAATTCCTAAAATTATAAAGGTATACTCAGATTAACAGAAACTGTCTTAGACATGTATGCCTAACCACTTACATCTCAGCACACTGTGTTCAACACCAATCTTCTAGAAAATTTTGATAAGAAACAATATATATTTGGTGAATTCCTAAGGTCTACTCAGGTTTGCAGAAACTGACTTGATGATATATGTCTAGCTTCTTTGTCTTTGCTAACTTTGTTAAGCTTTAGATATTCAATAAACTGAGTCATATAAGAAACTGTGATGTTCTATAAAGACACACTATAAAAGTATCAGAAAGGTAAAGTTGCAAGTCTCTCAGTAGACTGTATTTATGGTTTGAAGTTTTATTTTGGTGTTAAAGGATCTTCAATTGAAATCATCGTTTTTTTAATTGAAAATAAATTCTCCTCTTATACAATACATCTCATACAAAACATCTCAGTTTCACCTTCCTCACTCCTCCCATCTCCCCCTCCCTACTTCCACTTTAGCCCCTATCTACTCCCCTCCATCTCCCTTCAGAAAAGAGCAGGCCTCTGAGAAAAAACAACCAAACACAGCAAAACAAAATGCAATAAGACAAGGCAAAGGCCCTTATACCAAGGCTGGACAAGGCAACCCAACAAGAGGAAAAGAGTCCCAGGAGCAGGCAAAAGAGTCCAAAGACACACCTGCTCCCACTGTTAGGAGTCCCACAAAAACACCAAGTTAACAGCTGCATCATATACACAGAGGACCTTGTGCAGACCCCTGGTGGGGCCCTTGCTTGCCCCTTTAGTCTCTGTGAGCCCATATGCACCCTACTTAGTTGATTCAGCTGGCCGTGTTCTCCTGGTGTCCTCTATCCTCTCTGACTCCTACCATCTGTTCACTCCCTCTTGCATGTGATTCCCTGAGCTCCAAGAGGAGGGACCTGATGGTAACCTCTAACTTAGACTCTCTCTTTGCTTAATATCTATGGGTTTCTGTGTTTGCTCCCATGTGCTGCCAGAGGAAGCTTCTCTGATGACTAGACAAGGAACTGATCTGGGAGTATAGCAGAATATCATTAGGAATAATTTCATTGATATATATGTATAGGTGTGTGGTTGTGGGTGTGTGTGGGTGTGGGTGTGGGTATGGGGTGGGTGTGTGTATTTAGACAAGTCATATTTGGTTCTACTCTAGGTCTCTGTGCTATCTAGTCTCCAGTTCATCCAAGCAATGTCGGATATGGACTGCCTCTCATGGAGTAGGCTTCAAGTTAAAATAGATATTGGTTGGCCACTCCCATAAGTTCTGCACTAACATTGCCCCAGCATATCATGCAGTTTGTAGGAGTCAGAGGGATGTGGATCTGGCAGAAATCATGTCTTGGCAACTTGCATGGCAGCTGAAGAGGGGAAGTTTCTTCATCGAGTAAGCAATTTGAAATAAGCAGTTTTAACAGAAGCTAAGTTAGCTAGGACATCCTGACCTTTGGTTCCTAAGATGGAGTTAGATAGTTTTCCATTGGATTATCCATCCAGTAAATCGGATTCCAGTTAAACCTGGAATGACCTCAGCAAGAATGCAAGATAGAGGAAACTGTGCCCTGCTTTGTCCCTAGCACAATCTAAGGAAATGATTTAACAGAGAGGAGAATTGAGAGAACAGGAAGGCAGAGGGAGACACTGCCAGCTGCCACCATGACAAGCAGTATGTGAAGATGCCGGTAAGCCATGAGCCATGTGGCAAGGTATAGATTTATAGAAATGGGTTAATTTAAGATGTAAGAACTAGATAGCTAGAAGCCTGAGGTCAAACAGTTTAAATAATATAAGCATCTGTATGTTTATCTTATAAGTGGGCTATCGGACTGCTGGTGCTTGGTGGACCCAGAGAGAAAACTCTCCAGCTACAATTCTTGTTTGGTTTTGCTTTTATATTTTGAAATAGTGTCTCCTTGTTAGTGCTAGCAGGGAGCTAAAGCCCAGAACTGCTTCTAGCAGCCTGAGAAAATCTACTGACTAAATCCCCAAGTCCTGTACTCAGATAGTACAAGATCCTTAACAATTGGTGAGTTTATTTGTTTAGACAGAGGAAAA